TAATGTTCTTGTGACACTACACCCACGTCTGAGACCTTTCCAATCTTCTGTCTTTCTTCCTCAGCATTTATGCTAGCGATTTACCAACATATTGCTTAGAAGTTCATGTTTACAAGCATTGTTTGTACAACTAGCGGTGACCTAACTATTTGTGAAACCGTAAAGAAGCATATACTGCAATGATGACAAACATTAAATGAAATGGAAGCATATTTGATCATGTCTGACCATGAGGCCTTTCCACCATGTAGTGGAACGATGGCAGATGTCGTGCAACGCTTTAGCGTTCATCAACTTCAGAAGTGGCTGGAGCTGGTTGCTGTGATGACATTCCAGCAGTGACACACATTGGCAACATTCAGTTACTTTCAAAGCAATGCTAACCACACACTGCACTGTACATAATAACCGTGAGAAAATGAACGTCCAGAGTATATATATAAAGCAGGGGTAGAAAACATTTTCTCTCCTGTGGATTGAATATGACTTTTCCATCATTGTCTCCTCTATGATTGCAATCAGGAGTCACAATCATACTGGGCCAGCATATTTTGGGCATTGAAGGCACTCTTAAAACTCCACCAACAATGACATGCATTTCCCATGAGCTTAAACGTTGTGACACAAAGAAAAGAGAGCAGTTCGTGAAGTTGCCACCAGGAGCTCACTGCTGAGTTGCCGTGTTGTTTGTTCCATGCCTGCGGTACTCACCTGAATGGCAGCTTTGTGATTTGGCCCAACAGCTTCCAAAAAACGACTTAAAGAAGAAGACACAGTCTGGAACACTCTCCTCCTACACATACGGCAAATCAAATCAATTAACTTAGATAAAGCTGAACTAAAGGCCTATTTATTTGTCCTGGCATACGCTGGGAAATAGGCATTTACATGATCGTCCAACTGGCTCGTAACTTTTTGGCCCCTCCACCACCCCTCCCAGTGAAGGTTCTCCAAAATCCGGCGAAATATTGGGATTGTGGTCTGGGGTATAGAGACCGAACGGATTTATTAATTTTAATTTATTTTCTCCGCGATTATTTTTTTCCATTGTTACGTGCATTTTCTTATCATTATTTACGTATTCATTTCTTTATTTGCTAAATATTGGGGTTTTGATTTTGTATTATCTGTGTACGGAACTGGACAATTGATGTGCAGCGTTGTGGGATGCAATTGCATGAATGGCTAACACAAGTCAGAGGTGCGGATGCATGTGAAGGTCATTCACAAATGTACAGGGCAGTGGCAGAGCTATCGAGTGTGCAGGTGGTGCAACTGCAACGGGACCCACGGGCCAGAGGGGCCCAGCCACCGAGCTACGAAGGGGGGGGGGGGGGGGAGCCCAAATCGATATCTCGCACCAGGGCACGTGCGACAATATAGTATTGCAGTTGGTGTAATGCTATTTAAATCGTAAAGTGTTTATACTTTAATACACGCGATGACTGGTACAGACTGCACGAACAGGAATATCGTGGATGTCGAATGAAAAAAAATATATATCTATTAATCATGTTAATGCAGCAAAAACCAATAATGCAGAAAAAAGTGTTTTATTGGTTCTTGTACAAGTTTAGAATAATTTATATACCGGTAACTACATTTCAAAGACTGGTGGTGGTGCACTTTGATGAGATAAATAAATACACGTAATGAAGTATTACTGGGTTTAAGAACATTGCAAGGTTACAATACATTCAGTTCATTTTCATTTTTATATTCTTGATTCTTTCGGTACAGTCACGTTGAAGGGAAACAATAAAATATATAAAACAATAAAATTCTCACGACGCTTCGACTGTAACACAAACAGTCATCATCAGGTGTGAAAAACCAACGGCAAGAAGAATTTGAAAGAAGCGGCGGTTTGTATTTATTAATTTATTTTCAAAAACTGTATTTATTTACGGTGTTTCTATTTATTTATTTAAAAAACGTTAGCGCCACGGATAGCGATTTGACAGTTTGTTTAGAAGGACGAGTCCATCTATGTTCTGAAAAGAGGAGGGGGGAGACGAAAAATGTAATGTATGCTGTCTGAAAGCCACTGTAAGCGTGAACAATCAATTAAGACGTGAAATGGTTTATCAAATCTTTCCAATGATTGCTAAGCCAGAATCTATCTTCTCGGTTGAAATTGTCTCTGTGCTTGTATATGTGGATAGCCTCATGAACGAATCTCTCATGGTAGCCCAATGGCTTGCAAAGAACCTCTGTCTTGGAGAAGTGAATGTCATGTGAGCCTACTGAATTATAACAGTGATCTGCCACGGCCGAGGTGTTGGTCCTACCGTGTTTAAGGTCTGCTTTGTGTTCACGAATGCGGTCCGAGACATGTCGTTTGGTTTCTCCTGCTCTATACCAATTCTTCAACCACATCAATTCCATACACCCAGCCATCAGATTTACCATGGAAGTCGAAAAAGATGGCAAGCTAACTTTTTTGGATGTCCTAATAAAAAAAGAGACCTGATGGTTCAATGAGCCACTCTGTCTACAGGAAAGCTACCCATACGGATGCTTATCTGAAACCGGATTCCCATCACCATCCATCACAGAAGAATTCTCTCATCAAGTTTCTGCACCATAGAGCCCAATGCATATCCGACCAGGAACACATAGGCAGTGAACTCAAGCACGTACACCAAGCTCTTAAGGCTAATGGTTACTCCGACTATACAATCTGCAAAGCTATCACTCAAAGCATGAAGGACCCTCTTCAGGAGCCTTTCAAAACCATCACTTTACCCTACATTGCGGGGATCACAAAAAAGATCTCCAAAATCTTGAATGATCCAGGTCCGTTTCAACACATTACATAAAATCCGTGATCTGGTTCCGTCTGTAAAAGATGTGATTCCGGACATACAGTACCCTGGTGTCTACAAACTAAGTTGCCTCTGTGGTAGTAGTTACATTGGAGAAACCAAACGACATGTCTCGGACCGCATTCGTGAACACAAAGCAGACCTTAAACACGGTAGGACCAACACCTCGGCCGTGGCAGATCACTGTTATAATTCAGTAGGCTCGCATGACATTGACTTCTCCAAGACAGAGGTTCTTTGCAAGCCATCGGGCTACCATGAGAGATTCATTCATGAGGCTATCCACATATACAAACACAGAAACAATTTCAACCGAGAAGATGGATTCTGGCTTAGCAATCATTGGAAGGATTTCATAAACCATTTCGGGTCTTAATTGATTGTTCACGCTAACGGTGGCTTTCACACAGCATACATTAAATTTTCGTCTCCCCCCTCCTCTTTTCCAAACATAGATGGACTCGTCCTTCTAAACAAACTGTCAAATCGCTCTCCGTGGAGCTAACGTTTTTTAAATAAATGCAAATACCGTCCATAAATAGATGCAGCGTTTGAAAATAAATTAATAAATACAAACCGCCACTTCTTTCAAATGCTTCTTGCCGTTGGTTTTTCACACCTGATGATGACTGTGTTACAGTCGAAACGTCGTGAGAATGTTATTGTTTTATATATATTTTATTATTTTATTGTTTCCCTTCAACGTGACTTTACCGAAAGAACCAAGAATATGAATCACTGCAGTCACGAAAGCTTTGAATCAAAATTCATTTTCATTGTAAAGTGTTTAGCAAGCACAATGAACATACTTATACGAAATTAATGGAACCTGTAAGCAAAGTGCACCACGTAAAAAAATACATTAAAATAGTGCTGTTGAATTTACTAGGCACGACAAAATAAGTAGTCTTGTTTTGGATTAAATATACACAAGCGACTGCCCTTAAAGGTTACACATGAGTCCTTAAATTGACAAGAAATGAAAAAGGTTCCATTTTAGATAAAGGCGAATCAAAGAAACACCTGTTACTGTGCAGATAAGCGTAAAACTAATATATCCAATAAATTTATTCTATCAAACCACGTCTTGAAATCTTCAAACCGAATACATTTTTCACGTAACAATGCCACATACATCGTTTGTGTATTTTTTACAGAGCTTACAATTTTAGGATGAAGCTGTTGTCTATTTATTTACACGAACTCTCTCAACGTTCACATGTTTTTTTAATGTTTGTCCGCAAAGATTTTCTTTTTGTTCGGTGGCCAACTGGAAATTAAAGGGGTAAGTTATCTTCGATGAATTGACGTCATTTCCTCGTAAAATAACAACACACAGGAAGTACCGCATGAAGATGTCCGCGCTGCGCAGAGATATGTTTTGTCATGATCATGCCACTCATGACGGACACAGAGTGCAGAATAAACCACGTGTACGTGCCGATGAGCTCCCTTAAACGACAGCCTTTAGGCGCAGTTCAGTGGTTATTTCAGCAAAGCCAAGGATATGGAACAGCTGTTGTGAATAACATCACCGCTGTCATCTGCTTTTCTTAGCAAGCTGCCGTTTTGTTCGCTGAATGTTGTGTTGCGGTGATGTGGTTCGTATCTACACTTATATACAGCACTGCTCTTACTGATGATGTTGGCATTTTTTTTAGTTTGTTAACATGTTTTCAAATAAAATATTAAAAAAATTATTGCAAATGTGGAAAACCAATTAATCCCATATGTGCTGTAATTTTCCGTAAATTATGAAAAGAATATTCAACTTCATCATTAGACCTCCTTTGCCAGTACCAAAATATAATAATAGAGTTTTTCCCATTTTTTTCTGGCAACAAAAAAAGGTTTCAATTTTGTTGCCAGAAAAAAGGGGAAAAACCCTATTATAATATTCAACTTGTCACTTATAAATGCTTTTTAAAATATATTTGAGAAGCAATACAATAAAGCCACTTGAGTTTATATTTTTGATGATGTGATTGAAATGTAATGTGTGTGCAATTTCGTGCAACAGCATACGTTTCAGTGTTTAATTACCTTTCAATGTTTTACACGATATTCCTTTTTACGTGATCCAGTGTTTTACTCCGTTTTATTAGGCTATATACGGTGAACCATTTTATCGCAACTATAATGCAGAAATGTAATACAATAATACCCTCGGGATATATGTCCGCCAAACGTTTATTTGCAATCCTTTTGTTGAACACTGCAAAATGTGGAATTACTCTTAGCACATTACAAACGCTCTGACCGTTACACTTTTTAAACATTTCACTCTTGAAATTTCACCCTGTCCATAATTCAATACCATTGACGTTTTCATCAATAAACACATCGCCCGTTGTAATGAATATCAACAATCAACGACTCTAATCCAAGTACTCCTTTTACAACAGGATTCTAGATATATATGTTAAAAAAATCAAAGACTCGGCAAACATATCTCTCCGTTTCATTTCGATGTTCAACTATTAAGTGCACTGAAAGTGATGACACAAATTGATTGACAAGTATGTACATTCCTAAAGAAGAGCAATATATTTTGTTTCTCCAATTACTTTTCGCCGTGTGACACATGCCCCGCCAATGTAGTATAAACAGGCTTACATGTTCGAAGCCCAACTGATAAATGTTTTCCACATGCAATACAACCGGGCATTCGGTTAAAATTTGTAGGCATCGTATTTTGACAAGGTACAATTATTTAATAATACTGTTATTAATGGCTTATAGTATTGTCTAAACCCGGGCGAAGTGTTTTAGATAATATAAATCAAGCAAACGTTCTAACAAGTTTTTTTTTAAATTCTGATCGCAGACGTCATCGGGGGGAGATTGTCGTAATCTTCAGGACGGGGGGGAGTGGGGGATGTGTGATCTTTTTTGGAGTGGGGGGGGGGGGGAGTGCTAGGGAGGAGTGCCGAGAAGGGTGGGGGGTAATCTTCCAGGGATTGAGCTGATTTCAGAAAGGTAGAAGTTGGAGTGTTAACAGCAGACTCAGTGTGAACCCGCTCAAGGCCGAGCGTGGGCCCCCACTGCCTGCGCCAAAAACAAGACACAAGTGAACCTGCGGCACCATGACGATCCAACACGCTCCCAATACAACTAGCACAACAGACATCATCACAAGTGAACAAAACAAATCTAGAAATGGTTAAGGTACAGCCCTCCAATTGCTTGGTGCCACCACTGCTGGTGGACGGCCCCACCCCACTTGCAGGAAGCTCGAGCACTGCTCCAAGAGGGCACCTTTGGCCTACTATTCCATCCTGGACAGAGATCTTAGAAGACGTGGGAGTACCCACACTGTTACCAAACCACATGTGACGTGTCAATTGACCGACTGTGGTGGCAGCCATTCATACTGCTCGATGGGCAGAGGCTGGTGGGGGCAGACATTTAAGAAACCTGCACTGATGTTCCAAATTTCTGTGCCGGGCGATTGAACCGGCGACCTCTGGCTTTGAAGTCCAGTATGGGAACCACTCCACCACCGCAGAATCCTGATATACATCGTGACGCACAGTTTACTGCCCACCCAGCATGTTCACTGAGCGTGTTATAAGAAATAACATGGATTAGTTTTAATTCTTCACTGATGTGCACATCACATATTCTCATTATGTTTAGTATTTACTCTTTACATGAATTAGTTTGAAAGCAAAATACATGCTCTAGCAATCACACACGCAAAGCCACATTCCTGTATACTTTACAATGAATGAGGCCTGACCTACTTTGTTCATGCTAAAATTAGCAAAGGCTGGGTCCACCCGTCTTCAGAAACAGCGTCACGTCGCTGTGCCCACGGGGAAGGGCACCGCTGGCAACTGCCCAGTGTCATTGGCCCGTTTGGTTGAATATAATTGGCTTGAGCACGGCTGACCACGTCGCTTGCAGTACTGGCCAGTGCCGTCCACTTTGCCAGGGCACAGGTAGCTTAGAGGTCACGGTGGGATACACACCCCGCTAAGAGCGAGTGGCGCGCAGTCACTCGCATGGCTCCGGGCGAGGTGTGGTGGAGGAGTGATTTTAGCCGCGTTGTGTGAGTCACTCGTGAGAATGCTTAGGTTGATTTTATTTGTCACACGTTGTGAGACAATGTAAAAGATGTAAACGCAGCAACGGTGACATAAGAGTTGAGGACTGGACTTTAGAGCCTTGATGCTGCCCGATTAAGGGGTTTGCATGCATGAGGTAACGAGCTATATATATAAAACAAGTTTTAAATATTGTGCTTAGAATAACTCGGAAATGGCCTGTAAAATAAGCAGACATCTCCTGTCTTCTAGCTTAGGTCAACAATAGCGCAGGCACAAACATGTCAGTTGGGTGTATTCATTAATTTAGGATGATTGTTTCTGGGAATTTCTGCACATTCCGTGTACTCTGTGGGTCGGGGGGGATTTAAAATTGTCAGAATGCCATAGTGGGAGACGGTTTAACCTATACCAGAGTCAGCCGCACTGAGCTGGCAGGACCCCATGTCGTGTTGTCATTCTCCTGTTTTTCTTCTTAGCTGTCCTGGGAAACCTGTAAGTCTTCTCGGGGCATTTAAAGTTAAGTTTTTTGTCAGTTCCTTAATAATACACCGCTCTGGACAATGCATTTACGTAGAATTCTCCCCTCTATTAGCATTGCGGAATGCTATTCTTATTCTACGATACATCCCGCTATTGTTGTACGTCAAAAGTTTCAACACTTTTGACGTCCAACTCGGATAAAGCGTCTCCACGTCTCTCCCCCCCCCCCTCCACAATCCCACACTTGGTCACTCAAACAAAGATCAAATATCCCCCATATAGCCTTAACAGACTGTAGGGGCAAGTGCTGTTAGCGAGCACCTATGAAGGCCGGAACGGTACACAAGGGGGTGGGTGGCCAGCACCACGCCCGACCGCCTTTGTCTCCCCAGTGGCAATGTTTACACACCGCACCAGGTACTCATTTGAGGCTGAGTCGACCTAGGGGAGGCCCGGGTACCGGTTCAGATAATCGTCACTGGTGTTGGCCGTGAGCGGGAATCGAACCTGGGTCGCCAGGTTCATAGCGCAGCGCGCTAACCACTACACTATCGCTCCCCATTGGTCACTCACACACACAGACACACACCGTGCCCACCCTAGCCCCCACCAAAAGAGGAGAACATTCTGTAGCTCGTAAGAAGGGCTGCGGACCTCTCACCCACCGGTGTAGTGCCGCCTCCCGGACGGCTGGCCCTGGCTGGGCGCGCTCGTAGACGGCTTCGCCTGCTGCCGCTTGTGTCCGGCCTCTCGCAGCGCGGGCGGAGTGGCGTGCGCCTGGCTCTTGCCCAGGGCGGGGTTGCCGCGGATGAGCGGCCGAGCCTCCGGAGCGTGCTTGTGCGAGCGGAGGACATTGAGAAACAAGCCGCCTGCACGGTGATGCTAGCGCATGTCGCTTGCTGCAGTGTCGCGTCTTTTGTTGTCGCTTTGCTTTGCCGCCCCCGTTATGCGCGCGCGCGTGTGAGTGCGTGCGCGTGTGTGTGGGTGTGTGTGAGTGTGAGCGTGCGCGTGTGTGAGTGTGTGTGAGCGCGCGCGCGTGAGGGTGTGCGCGTGTGTGTGGGTGTGTGTGAGTGTGTGTGAGCGTGTGTGGGTGTGTGTGAGCGTGCGCGTGTGTGGGTGTGTGTGGGTGTGTGCGCGTGTGTGTGGGTGTGTGGGTGTGTGCGCGTGTGTGTGAGTGTGTGCGCGCGTGTGTGTGTGTGAGTGTGTGTGAGCGTGCGCGTGTGTGTGAGAGTGTGTGCGCGTGTGTGTGGGTGTGTGTGAGTGTGTGTGAGCGTGCGCGTGTGTGGGTGTGTGTGAGTGTGTGCACGTGTGTGAGTGTGTGCGCGCGTGTGTGGGTGTGTGTGAGTGTGAGCGTGCGCGTGTGTGAGTGTGTGTGAGTGTGTGCGCGCGTGTGTGAGTGTGTGCGCGTGTGTGTGGGTGTGTGTGTGTGTGTGTGAGCGTGCGCGTGTGTGTGAGAGTGTGTGCGCGTGTGTGTGGGTGTGTGTGAGTGTGTGTGAGCGTGCGCGTGTGTGGGTGTGTGTGGGTGTGTGCGCGTGTGTGAGTGTGTGCGCGTGTGTGTGTGAGCGTGCGCGTGGGTGAGTGTGTGCACGTGTGTGAGTGTGTGCACGTGTGTGAGTGTGTGTGCGCGTGTTACATATTTCCGTCGTGGCTGTACCGGGGGAATCTCCATTTGGTACAGATATAATGGGAGGCTGATCGATGCCCGGGTGCGGTCAAGGGATGGCTCCCTATTGCTCAACTACGTTATGTATGCCGATGATTTGGTAATAGCTGCTCATTCAGAGGAGGAGTTGGAGACGCTGCTGCTGAGACTGGAGCGTGCCACTAAGAGATGGGGCCTTACCATCAGCCCGACCAAAACTAAGCACCTGCCTGGGTATTTTGTACCATCGGACACTCCACCCCCACAACTCCCAATCGGTGATGGGGCAGTTGTGGAGAGAGTGGAGAGTGTCCCATACCTGGGCAGTGTGCTTGTGACCAGCTCCAATTTAACAGCAGAGGTCTCACTCCGAATCAATCGAGCGGCAATATCTTTTCATCGGTTGCGTAACGCTGTGTGGAAGCTACCTGGTCTGTCGCTCCGCACTAAGCTTCAGGTCTTCTCGGCCACGGTCATTCCCTCCCTTCTCTACGCTTGCGAAACGTGGACCCCCTTAATGGAACATCTTCGCCGGTTAGAAACATTTAGGCTAGCCTGCCTACGATCCATCCTGGGTTTAACCAGACTGGATTGTGTGAGGAGCTCACAAATCCTTGAAAGATCTGGGCAAGGTCCCATCGGTGAGCTCCTCCGGCGGGGAAGGCTGCGATGGCTGGGTCATGTAGCCCGCATGCCCAGCCACCGCATGCCGAAACAGCTTTTGTTCGGCCGGATCGAGGGGGCTAAACGGGCATGGCACGGGCTAGAGAAGAGATGGAGTGATGTGGTACAGGAGGACGTGGAGCTGACTTGCCGATGACTGGTACCAGCAGTGTCAAGATCGGCCTCTGTGGAGGAGGCTCGTGAAGGACGCTACTGGGCAGTTTGAGGCAGTCGCCCTCCAACAACAACGGAGGGCGGAGGAGCGACGCTCACAACAACGAGCGGAGCGCCGGGTGGCTAAAGCACAGCAGGTTGGCACAGTAGGAGGCACAGGTGGTGCATCAGCCAGTCATCTCAGTCAGTCGACCCGTGGCACCTGGGTCTGCCCCGTGACCTCCTGCTAGCGGGCGTTCGACACTTCACGTGGCCTCAAGGTGCACATGGCCTGGCACAAGCGTCGTGGTGACGTCACCGCCACTTAGTGGCGAATGGCGGTTGTTGTTGTTGTGCGCGTGTGTATGAGTGTGTGCGCGTGTGTGAATGTGTGTGCGCGTGTGTGAGTGTGTGTGAGTGTGTGCACGTGTGCGAGTGTGTGTGAGTGTGTGCACGTGTGTGAGTGTGTGTGCGCGCGTGTGTCTTAGTGTGTGTGTGTGTTGCGCGCGCGTGTTTGTCTGAGTGTGCGCGCGTGTTTGTCTGAGTGTGCGCGCACGCCTGTGTGCGCGTATGTGTGAGTGTGTGCGTCGCAGTCCGTGTGTCCATTGTGCATATCGCGCGCGCCGTGCACTCGACAATGATAACGATGATGACGCGCTCACGTGTTGGGATATTAGCTTGCCGAACACGTGTAAGTCAGCACGTTAGGTATCGTGACGGCATTGTGCTAGAAGAATGGCGCAAAGTCCATTCGGCATTTGCGCGGTTCTCGTAGCACGAGGCGCGATGTTTGTTGAAGGTTTGTCTGGTACTCCATACAGTGAGGGAAAAAAGTACTTGATCCCCTGCTGATTTTGTACGTTTGCCCACTGACAAAGAAATGATCAGTCTATAATTTTAATGGTAGGTTTATTTGAACAGTGAGAGAAAGAATAACAACAAAATAATCCAGAAAAACGCATGTCAAAAATGTGATAAATTGATTTGCATTTTAATGAGGGAAATAAGTATTTGACCCCCTCTCAATCAGAAAGATTTCTGGCTCCCAGGTGTCTTTTATACAGGTAACGAGCTGAGATTAGGAGCACACTCTTAAAGGGAGTGCTCCTAATCTCAGCTTGTTACCTGTATAAAAGACACCTGTCCACAGAAGCAATCAATCAATCAGATTCCAAACTCTCCACCATGGCCAAGACCAAAGAGCTCTCCAAGGATGTCAGGGACAAGATTGTAGACCTACACAAGGCTGGAATGGGCTACAAGACCATCAGCTTGGTGAGAAGGTGACAACAGTTGGTGCGATTATTCGCAAATGGAAGAAACAGAAAAGCACTGTCAATCTCCCTCGGCCTGGGGCTCCATGCAAGATCTCACCTCGTGGAATTGCAATGATCATGAGAACGGTGAGGAATCAGCACAGAACTACACGGGAGGATCTTGACAATGATCTCAAGGCAGTTGGGACCATAGTCACCAAGAAAAAAATTGGTAACACACTACGCCGTGAAGGACTGAAATCCTGCAGCGCCCACAAGGTCCCCCTGCTCAAGAAAGCACATACACATGCCCGTCTGAAGTTTGCCAATAAACATCTGAATGATTCAGAGGACAACTGGGTGAAAGTGTTGTGGTCAGATGAGACCAAAATGGAGCTCTTTGGCATCAACTCAACTCGCCATGTTTGGAGGAGGAGGAATGCTGCTATGATCCCAAGAACACCATCCCCACCATCAAACATGGAGGTGGAAACATTATGCTTTGGGGGTGTTTTTCTGCTAAGCGGACATGACAACTTCAATGCATCAAAGGGACGATGGACGGGGCCATGTACCGTCAAATCTTGGGTGAGAACCTCCTTCCCTCAGCCAGGGCATTGAAAATGGGTCGTGGATGGGTATTCCAGCATGACAATGACCCAAAACACACGGCCAAGGCAATAAAGGAGTGGCTCAAGAAGAAGCACATTAAGGTCCTGGAGTGGCCTAGCAAGTCTCCAGACCTTAATCCCATAGAAAATCTGTGGAGGGAACTGAAGGTTCGAGTTGCCAAACGTCAGCCTCGAAACCTTAATGACTTGGAGAATATCTGCAAAGAGGAGTGGGACAAAATCCCTCCTGAGATGTGTGCAAACCTGGTGGCCAACTACATGAAACGTCTGACCTCTGTGATTGCCAACAAGGGTTTTGCCACCAAGTACTAAGTCATGTTTTGTAGAGGGGTCAAATACTTATTTCCCTCATTAAAATGCAAATCAATTTATAAAAATTTTGACATGCGTTTTTCTGGATTTTGTTGTTGTTATTCTGTCTCTCGCTGTTCAAAGAAACCTACCATTAAAATTATAGACTGATAATTTCTTTGTCAGTGGGCAAACGTACAAAATCAGCAAGGGATCAAATACTTTTTTCCCTCACTGTAGCTACTAAGAGTGTAACTATTCATAGGGATTCTAGATTTGAAGTTTTCGTGACTGCAATGAACTATTAATTTTGCTGTGCTAGTTACACCTGATGACGGAAGCTTGTGTTGCCTCCGAAACGTCGTAATTTGATTAACTTTATTTTATTTTTTATTTTTACCTACGCAACTTTACCGAAAGAACCAAAGAGTATATTCATAGTGATATTTAAAAACTGGTAAAATTTAAAAACTGTTAAGCGCAGTCTCTAACCCTCATTATCGCTCTCTCATCCTTATTATCTCTCTCTCATCCTTATTATCTCTCTCATCCTTAATATCTCTCTCATCCTTAATATCTCTCTCATCCTTAATATCTCTCTCATCCTTATTATATCTCTCTCATCCTTATTATCTCTCTCTCTCATCCTTATTATCTCTCTCTCATCCTTATTATTTCTCTATTATCCTTAATATCTCTCTCTCATCCTTAATATCTCTCTCATCCTTAATATCTCTCTCATCCTTATTATCTCTCTCATCCTTATTATCTCTTTCATCCTTAATATATCTCATCCTTAATATCTCTCTCATCCTTATTATATCTCTCATCCTTATTATCTCTCTCATCCTTATTATCTCTCTCATCCTTATTATCTCTCTCATCCTTAATATCTCTTTCATTCTTAATATCTCTCTCATCCTTATTATATCTCTCTCATCCTTATTATCTCTCTCATCCTTAATATCGCTCTCATTCTTACTATCTCTCTCTCATCCTTATTATCTCTCTCATCATTAATATCTCTCTCATCCTTAATATCTCTCTCATCCTTATTATCTCTCTCATCCTTAATATCTCTCTCATCCTTATTATCTCTCTCATCCTTAATATCTCTCTCATCCTTAATATCTCTCTCATCCTTAATATCTCTCTCATCCTTAATATCTCTCTCATCCTTATTATCTCTCTCATCCTTATTATCTCTCTCATCCTTAATATCTCTCTCATCCTTAATATCTCTCTCATCCTTATTATATCTCTCTCATCCTTATTATCTCTCTCATCCTTATTATCTCTCTCATCCTTATTATCTCTCTCATCCTTATTATTTCTCTATTATCCTTAATATCTCTCTCTCATCCTTAATATCTCTCTTATCCTTAATATCTCTCTCATCCTTATTATCTCTCTCATCCTTATTATCTCTTTCATCCTTAATATCTCTCATCCTTAATATCTCTCTCATCCTTATTATATCTCTCATCCTTATTATCTCTCTCATCCTTAATATCTCTCTCATCCTTATTATCTCTCTCATCCTTAATATCTCTCTCATCCTTATTATCTCTCTCATCCTTATTATCTCTCTCATCCTTATTATCTCTCTCATCCTTAATATCTCTTTCATCCTTAATATCTCTCTCATCCTTATTATATCTCTCTCATCCTTATTATCTCTCTCATCCTTAATATCTCTCTCATTCTTATTATCTCTCTCTCATCCTTATTATCTCTCTCATCATTAATATCTCTCTCATCCTTAATATCTCTCTCATCCTTATTATCTCTCTCATCCTTATTATCTCTCTCATCCTTAATATCTCTCTCATCCTTATTATCTCTCTCATCCTTAATATCTCTCTCATCCTTATTATCTCTCTCATCCTTAATATCTCTCTCATCCTTAATATCTCTCTCATCCTTAATATCTCTCTCATCCTTAATATCTCTCTCATCCTTATTATCTCTCTCATCCTTATTATCTCTCTCATCCTTAATATCTCTCTCATCCTTATTATATCTCTCTCATCCTTATTATCTCTCTCATCCTTATTATCTCTCTCATCCTTAATATCTCTCTCATCCTTATTATATCTCTCTCTCATCCTTAATATCTCTCGCATCCTTAATGTCTCTCTCTCATCCTTATTATCGCTCTCATCCTTATTACCTCTCTCATCTTTAATATCTCTCTCATCCTTAATCTCTCTCATCCTTATTATTTCTCTCATCCTTAATATCTCTCTCATCCTTATTATCTCTCTCATCCTTAATGTCTCTCTCTCATCCTTATTATCGCTCTCATCCTTATTATCTCTCTCATCTTTAATATCTCTCTCATCCTTAATCTCTCTCATCCTTATTATTTCTCTCATCCTTAATATCTCTCTCATCCTTATTATTTCTCTCATCCTTAATATCTCTCTCGTCCTTATTATCTCTCTCATCCTTAATATCTCTCTCTGATCCTTAATATCTCTCATCCTTAATATCTCTTTCATCCTTAATATATCTCTCTCATCCTTAATATCACTCTCATCCTTAATATCTCTCTCATCCTTAATATCTCTCTCATCCTTATTATCTCTCTCATCCTTATTATCTCTCTCATCCTTAATATCTCTCTCATCCTTATTATCTCTCTCATCCTTAACATCTCTCTCATCCTTATTATCTCTCTCATCCTTAATATCTCTCTCATCCTTATTATATCTCTCATTCTTATTATCTCTCTCATCCTTATTATCTCTCTCATCCTTAATATCTCTCATCCTTATTATCTCTCTCATCCTTAAAATCTCTCTCATCCTTATTATCGCTCTCTCTCTCATCCTTAATATCTCTCTCATCCTTATTATCTCTCTCATCCTTAATATATCTGTGATCCTTAATATATCTGTGATCCTTATTATCTCTCTCTCATTCTTAATATCTCTCTCTCATCCTTAATATCTCTCTCATCTTTAATATCTCTCTCATCCTTATTATCTCTCTCATCCTTAATATCTGTCTCATCCTTATTATCTCTCTCATCCTTAATATCTCTCTCATCCTTATTATCTCTATCATCCTTAATATCTCTCTCATCCTTAATATCTCTCTCATCCTTATTATCTCTCTCATCCTTAATATCTCTCATCCTTAATATCTCTCGCTCTCTGGCCTGTCTGCTGATGTGCTATGAGGAAGGTCCATGGTCCCGAACTGTCATCATATATTGACATTAATTTCGTTTTTGGCAGTGTTGTTGACGAGCGTGTGGAGTGTTTTTGCTACGAATGTTTTCTTTGTAATCTCCACAGGACAGGCCCATAGTCTTACTGGACATTTGTTAAAACAGATAAATAAAGATTCTGATTCCGTATTTTCAGCACACAAGTCTGGCTATTAGGCATGTAACAACGTAACGATTCACATATACACGCGTCAATATTTATAATTGCATTTCTAATTTATGTAAATATATCCACATGTTATGCTCATGTTACATTCATGCTAGTGGAGCAAACTGTACAAACACGGTAAAAAGGTGAAACCAGATCAATGAGCCAGTAAAACGAGACAAAAGAAAACTGATTATTGCCTCGAATCACGATGCTGAATCAAATCACTGGGATGGGTGAATGATGACATGGCCGCTACCTATGTAGGCCTCGTCTCACATATATCGGTCATTAGCTGCGTGCCCTCGATGCTGTTACATGTTTAGTTATATGCCAAAGATAATCAACGTCCATTGTTAGAGCATGCCGAATCATATCATGCGTACAGGAAATCTCTCCGTGACACTGCGCAGCTTGGCACAACGTGGACGCTGCAGGGTTTTGTTGTGCGGAGCTGCGTAGATGTGGTTTGGGGTTTTCAATTCGAGCTACGCTGATCGTAAATTTGGAACGCACCAGCCGGAACAGCCCGTTGCTCTTATTCCTAGTTCTTTCGGTAAAGTCACGTTGAAGGGAAACAACAAAATAATAATATATATATAAAACAATAAAAATTATCGCGACGTTTCGACCATAACACAAACGGTCGTCTTCAGGTGTGTTGGTTTGCATAAAAATAAATGTATGCAAACCAACACACCTGAAGACGACTGCAGTAATTCATATTCTTAGTACTTTCGGTAAAGTCACGTTGAAGGGAAACAACAAAATAATAAAATATATATAAAACAATAAAAATTCTCACGACGTTTCGACCATAACGCAAACCAACACACCTGAAGACGACCGTTTGTGTTATGGTCGAAACGTCGTGATAATTTTTATTGTTTTATATATTTTATTATTTTGTTGTTTCCCTTCAACGTGACTTTACCAAAAGAACTAAGAATATGAATTACTGCAGTCACGAAAGCTTTAAATCAAAATTTAGCCCGTTGCTCTGTCGATTTTGTGAACGCTGTGAACCACGCTGGTGAGTTAAACTCCAAACACAGGTGTGTTTGTTTTTAAGAACAATAAATCTGCATTCTCCAATGTACGTAATGTAGCAAGAGGCACCGGGAGGTAATTTAAACGGTGATAAGGACATATATTTCGGGAGGAAAATTACCATTGTCGCTACTAGACACACATGGAAATGTGCCATGTTCCATTTGTCAGATCGGCTATGGCAGGAGATTTATGTAACACAACATTTATATTTTCCATTAAAAGTGCACATCAGTGCGATGTATTATTCGCAAAAAAGAACTCGCGGCAATTGGCCCCAATTATAGCCAGCACACATAGCCTAATACCATTGAACACATTTCCCCAAGACCAAACCGAACCATGCTTCGACGGCCACCACTAAAACTGCACAGGAAATTGACAATTGACTGCCTAATGCATTGCCATGGTTCACTGTTGTGATTTGATTTAAAACCTTATTTTTGTTGTTGTTTTGTTTATTTCTCACTTGTTCTCACTATCTCTGTTGAATGTAATTTGTGTCTCATTTGTAATAACCGTCTTGCATATTCTGGTCTCTTTACATGGTTTGTATTGACTGTTCTTCATGTCTCCTATATTGATTCCATTGTCTGTCTCTGTAGTTCATAAGTCTTGGATGCTTTTTTTCCATCTAGTTCCCTACTGCTCTCACCTGGCGCTAAGTGTCCATTGGTCTCTGTGTCTTAGCGAGGCCCCCCGGTTGAGTGGCGAGCGAGTGAGCGGGGGGCTTTTACCTGCATGTCGCCCTGCAGGCGGAAGTCCACACGCAGCGTGGCCTGGGCCTTGTGCTCCTGGGTGTTGTCGTCGCTGCGGTCGCTCACGCGGCACTCGTACAGGCCCTCGTCCTCGCGGCGCACGCTCGACAGCCGCAGGTAGTTGGAGATGTCGCTCCCCATCACCTTGACGGCCTGCGTGACGACACCGCCGTGGCCGCCACCGCCGCCGCGAATGGCACGGAATGCTGCCTCCCGTCGCCACGATTCTTAGACTTAGGCTTGGGGGGGTGGGGGGGGCTGTTCCACCTTCCAAGTTCACATCATGCATTTGTAACTACAGAAATGTGTCTGATTTTAATGCAAAAAATTCTAAAATTGCAGTTTCGTGGTTTTTAATAAGTGGCTATTTTAATACATTTTATGATTTTAGTTTTTTGTATTTCGAATCGATTTACACAGAATACATTAAAATGTACTCAAAATATGGGGCACCTAGTCTGGCCGCCCCCGTAAAGGTATCCCTCGATTTACAAATGTTCGGTTTAACAAACATTTTTCGTTCACGCATTTGACAAATGATAGACACTTTTCGTTTAATTAAATCTAATTTCCGCGATCACGAAATTTCAGTACGGCACGTGCCATGAGAGCATCAAACAAGGAGGCTGCGTCGGCATTCATCCACGACAGCGTCGCAGTGTCCCTGCAGTGCAACAGCGACGCCTCCACATCACCTTTACAGTCATTTTCAATGTGCAGATCTTTTGGTGAGTTCCCTGAAAAAGATGATTGTTTTTGTATTAAATTGATCATTATTCGATCGATTTAATATTTATGTTCATTATTATTATTATTATTGTTTTTGTATTGCGAATAGCGATATAGGTGGTGTATATGTTTCGGCTTAGGAGTACAGTTGGAATGACTGTCCGAAACACACCCCTCATTTTTTAAATTCAATTAATGGGAAAAGCCGTTCCCATTCACGAAATGTCGTTTTGCGCGTTTTTTGTTGTTGCTTCAGAACGCAACCCTTTCGTAAATCGAGGGATACCTGTACAATCCAAACTTCGGAATCTCGTTGGCCAATTCAAAGCACTCCCACGGAATGGCACCTGTACGAGGCGGCAGGGGGCACCCCGAATTTCGCCCCTGGCCAATAGCAAAGCTGCCGTTGCAAATCCTCTGCATTGGTCGAGGCCTATTCCACTCCATCCTACCTGGCTGCCTCCTCACCGCACCTTTGGCGACCACGACACAAAACCTCGGGCCCATGGCTTTTAAATGCACTATTGTGGCTGCGGCAATGTCGATATAGGGGTTGGTGGGGAGGAAGACGTTGTAAAGTACTCACGCTAATTTTAGTAGCGTCGCTGTTCTTGGATGTCTGTGGAAAGGGAAAAAGTGAATTTCAATTGTTTGTAAAATAAACTTTTTTAACTTGCAAATTCAATCTTTGTTCTGGATGTATAGATGGACGAACATCTATCTGTATTGTAGCAGTAGGCGCTCAGGCAAGCTGGTAACTTTGCATCTCTTCATACTGAAAGTCTGTTCATATGTTGGTTATGAGGAGCATCCACTGAAAGCATTAAAAAACAATTTAAACGCACATCTCTACACACCGTTGCAAATGTGAGATCCCAGCAAGGTAAAACGCCTCCATCCACAATGGAAAAAATATAGCATGTTAAGGAAAACGGCAATTTTTCCTAACAATACGAAGGGCTGTAGTCCAAAACATTGCCTTTTCTGGACATATATAATTTGAGCGCAGTGTCATTGACGAAAGTGTTCAGTACGTTTCTGTAATCCGTGCTCGTGCACCACCGCCACCCATGCGGCATCGCGGCTTGTGTTGAAGCCTCGACGGGGAGCTGTCCGTGGGACTACCTGGGGACGGGCGGGGCTGGTGGCTGGCGGCAGGGCCTTGGGGGCAGGTCCCCCGCGGTAGGGCTCCCCACGCATGTGCCACCACTGCATCTCGATGGAGTGCGAGGTGGGGCCGCTGCCCTGGTAGGCGCATATGAGCACCACGTCGTCGCCCTCCACTGCCATCACGTCCTGGGGCACCTCGGTGAACATGCCTGCTGATGGTGGGGACAGACAACGGGTGGTAAATCGGGGGCTGCGTTTCAGTCCGGCTCTCCGGCACATTGCATGCAGGGTATCTAAGGCTACCGCTGTGGCCATTTACACGTGTCATCTACTCCGGTCTCGCACTGACCGATAAAATATTTGGTGAGAAATTAAGCTCCTGGCACAACGGAAATGTTCCGCAGTTGACAACTGTTGTTACGGACACAATTCCAGCCGGCAGATTATCAAGACTCCCGCGCGCGATTCTGTCCGTGTTGTCTCTTCATCGTGCTCAATGGTACGCCATTAAATTACACAAACGTTCAGTCCTGGAGTCTTTTAGGAGTTAGCAGAGTGAATTTGTCCCGGGTTTTTCAACTTTTAAGTGCCAGGTGTGGTCAATAGATGTAATTAAATAGGGGGCTCTCTCCAGTCGTGTATTGACGTGAGCTGTGGTGGTCACACCTGAAATGGATTGCACCCAGCTGGGTCTGATGTAAATCCATGGAGTGGTCACATTTAGCAGCGGCTTGGATTTTTTGGGTTGTTAAAATAAAAAAAACAGTACTGCATACACAAGCTTCAGCCTTTCACCACCGTATATTTTTAGCCGACGCAGTCCGTAAGAATTTACGACACGAAAAAACATTGATACATTTCACGGATTGAGAAAGATTGAAATATACGTACTGGCATAACATTAATTCTCCCCTGTTACAAAAAAATATGTTGGGGAAAAATGAGCGGTGAAAAAAAGTGATGCCTAATGCAGGCCTGTAAACACAGCGTTTAAGGCTAAATAAACATGCCATGAATAGATATGGTATTAGTATCGCCAGAAATTGAGCTTAAAAAACATCATGATGTAATAACGAAATAAACAACACCTTTGTTCCCACTGCACAGCCACGTTACACACTGCCTCTCATGTCGCAAGCCGCTCACATTTTTTTTTTAAATAAACCAACAACCGTGCAATGCAATCTCTTATTTTTTTGCATTTCAATCTAGTTGCAATTACCAATTTTCCAAAACTTCAGTAAATAATTCATACGTGGTAGGGTGTTCACCTGGCTGGGTGTGAGCCGGGTAGTCCGGGTATTGTAATTTGTGTTTGGGCGGCAGGAATTGATTTGTGACGAGATATTTTACTAATGGACCTCGGCTGACTGAGAAATATGCCTGGGTTTATCGGCAGTGGAAAAGGTGGCAAGCCGACTACACGGTGACGATGTTCCGATGGATAATTAATGGCAGACATATTTTATTCATCACCTTGTTCAGTTTTACATCGCATCATTCATGTTTTATACAAAACCATTCATGCACATTGCATTCACAATGCCTTACAATTTGTAATGCACGGATGCGTGAGGAATCACAGGTAAGCAGGCGGCGAGCCCAAGCTCTGCGGTTCTCAAAATATTAAGATGTTTTCAGCCAAATAATGAGTGTTTACACAGGTGGTAGGAAACTGGAGCGTCCGGAGATAACCCATCCGTGCGAGAGAGCAACACTCTATCCCATACACATGGAACAGATGGAGATCCGTCCACATTTGTTTTACAGCCCTCTCCTGTCGAGCCAGGGTATGGCACCACCTCGACGCCCCCACGGGAAGGGAGTTTCACGAGATCTGCGTGCGATCCACCAACTCCCGCTCCCTCCGCAGGGCTGGATTACAGCCCACGTGCATAGCCACCCCCGGTCCTGTGGGCCCTGGTGCAGTTGCACCGCCTGCACGCTCGATAGCTACGCCACTCCGAGTGCTGCATTAACTGTAAGACCGCCCCCCCCTCCCGCCTATTCAATGCAATGTTTCCCATAATTCGGGGTCCGCAGTTGAGGTTGAGTCGTCTTACTCTGTTGTCCCCATAGAGGGCGCCACTACACAAGTGTGGCCATCTCATCTGAATTCAAAAGCAACTTGCTTGCAATGTGATTGTACGCGTGCGGCACAGATGCAGAAGAAGCCTCCACGAAGGCTGGAGCAAACGTGGAGCACGCGGGCACGTGAGGTCCGAGGAAAACAATTGTGCTTTGGAAGAACTTTCTTTAAAGGGGAAACGCACTGTGCCGTGGAGGCGAACTGACCCTGATCTCGTGTGTGATTTTATTTGGGTCTTTCGGGAAAGTCACGTAGATAGGTTCAAATTAATAAAAAATAAAATAACGACGTTTCCATCACAACACAAGCGATCGTCATCGCTTGTGTTGTGATCGAAACGTCGTAGTTTTTTGTGTATTTTATTTTTATTAATCTGAACTTATCTACGTGACTTTACCGAAAGACCCAAAGAATATGAATTCCTGCAGTCACGGAAGCTTTAAGTCAATATTTTTCCTGTGCGATGTTGGTTAATGGAATTGTACTGAAGTAGATTTAATTTAATAACAACATAGCTCAGTTGTTGGCACCATTATTTTTTTCGAATACCAATTGGATGGAAATAAATCTAAACCAAATACTGTACAATAGCTAACTCCATAGTACAAACGAATTAATTTCAGAAATCTATGACAATTAATCTTGATTCGTTTTCCAGTAGAGCCTCACTGAGTTTCGAGTAATTTGCACGAGGATTCTGCTAATAATTGGGACGTTTGCTCAAATGCATGATACGTGGTTTGTGTATGGGAGGAACTATAGTAGCTGAAGAATAGTAGCTGAAGAAAACACAATAAAAAAAGTCCGCACAGATGGGTTCACGAATCCCCTTGCTGGACGGCCATCCGCTGGCCACCTCCGTATGGCCGCGGGTTTCTGTCCCCCCCAGAAATCTCAATCGATGTTGACATTCTAACTTGTGTTAGAGATTAGGCGCGCATTAATCCGGCACGGTATCTACGTACAATCGGCAGCCGGTTAAGCTTGCGCATGCTAAATGCGTAGAACCGTTGCATATTAAAGGACCGTGCTTGCATGACAATACGGTGCTCAAAGGGGGTGTTGCGTGTCGTGCAATTAACATCTGGCAACGGAAACAGAAAGCGGTGCTTGTACGTGCTTAAAGCAAAAAAACATCTATCTCGGTGTTACATCAACAATTGTTAAATGTGCTGCCGTCAGAGGGCTTTTTTTACTAATTGTTAGCCATGATAAATCTACTGCTGGATGACCCCCCCACAACCCACTCTCCCCCACAAGCCGTCACCGTCTCTAACGACCCCGTGATGTGATAATCCACCCGGCATCCTACACGCGAGCCGATGTCATCGCTCCATCTCCGAAACACACCCGGACGCCATGCTCTTATAGATACATTATAATTCATTACTTTAACTAAGGAGAACATCTCTTGACAAACTAAATTGTATAGCATAGCACACGACTCACAAAATTCGATTAGATACATGTAGCCTCCGAAATACGATGACAATAGCGACAAAGGCATGGTATTATTATTTGTAAAAATAACATTCATGTGTACATGCTACCATGTGACTATAACATTGACAGACACCTATACAAGCAAGACAACTGTGTGTGTACGAGTCAATCTATTAACGCGATTGCCATTGCCCCTTCGCGAAGATAAGCGGTTGATACTCGAGCGGGTGGATGGCGAGCGTCGACAAGCGGCGCGCGTCCAGTCGGGTGCTGTCATCATCATCATCATCGATGGCACTCTCCCCGATGCCCTGAGGATTAGAGGTAATCTCTTTTGACCCGAGCTCCGAGAAAGGGACCTGCAGGTATCCAGGTAACCCCGCATCGACCGCCCCCCCCCCCTCTCCACCCCCGCCTCCCCGATTTCGAGAGACTCATTGAGGCAACCTTATCTCAGGTTAATGACCAACACGGAGTTGTGAAAAATTTCCGTGAATATTTACCTGCCGGTAGAGTTATCAACGCCATTGCCTCTGTCAAAAAAAAGCATTATCGGCTAATTTGTTCTGCAATAAATGCCCTTGTTTTTTCTTATCTCAAATTTATCTGCACGCGTTTAGCTTTTAAGCAAAATAACCCGCAAGAAATCCGACCCACGCGACTTATTAGCAGACTTGCCTACAAGATCACCTTGTTGCTGTCTCTAATTGAGCAATGTGAAATTTGGAAGTACACATCTGCAACAACTCACCACATTTATCAATAACAATTCCACAATAGAAAAACAAATATATGTTCTCACGTGTTGTAAACTATACGTATAAAACAGACGACGTATAGGGCAGTGACTGTTGATCGTAGCAGGAAGGTGATCTCCGCTATGAAGAGACAACATCTCTGCTGCAGAGAAGGGCCATTGGCCCCAACCGTCCCATGGAACACGTTCTGCCGTTTCGGGGCAGTGTTGTTGACGAATTCGTCGAGTTTTATAATTATTTTGGTGCTTTTGCACCACCGCCAACGCCGCATAAGAATGTCGTGTTTGCAATTACAGACAAGCGCAGTGCACTCTGGCGCGGTCGGCGCAGAACCCTGCTGTACGTTGAAGACAAAAGCACACTTACCCTGTGCTAAGGCGAACAGATGGAGTTGCACAATTAAGAAAGGCGCCAGACCCATGGCTTTGCCGTCAAGGGGGTACAATGGGCACCCCCACCACGCTTCGTGGGAATTGTCCAGCGGTGGAGGGGTCTGTCCGGCTTGGGATGAAAGACTCCGGGAGCGCCTGTGACCCTCCCGTAGGGACCGCAGGCTGAAGATGTACAGAGAGAGAGAGAACGCGAGCGAGAGAGAGAGGAGTGAGAGAGGAGTGAGAGAGAGAGGAGTGAGAGAGAGAGAGGAGTGAGAGAGAGCGAGCGAGCAGTGCAGCGCAAGTGCAATCATCCATCCGGCACATCCACTATGTGAGATCGGCGGTAGATGCTCCCATTCAGAGCGTCCTTGCTTGATTCTAACTGCAGCCAAGCCCCCCATGCCACGTCCGAGTCGTGTTTACACCGCGTGTGCGAAGGGCACAGAATCTTGCGTTCATGATGATAACTGGTGATGATGATGCTCTTTCGTATGATGGGAGTCGGGTAGAGTTGGCGGTGGGGTTGATCAACAAGGTTTCATGTGTTCATGTCGAGGTTGGTCGGGTGAGCTGGTGGTGGATAGATTCATGAGTCACCTTGATGAATGGTGATAACTGATGATGCTGATGACGGAGCGTAGTTGTAAAAGCACCGTGCGAGATTCATTCACGGTGGCTCTTTCACTTTTAAAATTCGCAAACTGCGTGCCCAGTGCCTGCTCATGTGCAGTGTTCACAAAGCACGCCCGTTGTTGGTTGCGCTGTGTGATATGCGAATGCTTTTGAAAGCGGTTTCAGTTCTCTTAAGCATTTTTCTCGATTTTGGCTTATCACGAGAGACGAACAGCTCTCGGTTCACATTGTTATTCCGTTACCGGGACCAGGGTAAACGACTCTTGCTGTCAACAATCTCTGTTCCCTTTTCACGCACACAAATACGGACGCAATTTTTCCGGATTATTAAAACAAAAGTTGAGGGATGTGCGTTTTATACTCGGTCTGTGCGCGTGTGTGCGTGACCAGATGTGTGTGACGTTATTTTATACCGGGAACAAGTTGTTTTACGGGTGCGTTTCACTTTACGGAGCGTCTTGCTGCCGGCAGAATTCGGTGCAGTGCTACGCCATTCGTGACACTCGACGAGGTGGAGTCATTTCCACCCCCGCCCAACACCAAACATATTTAGCACATTTGTTTATAATTGACAACGACTCACTTTGCAGACACACACAACGCTAAGCAATAATAATCAAGGATGCATTTACAAAATTATCGATGCAAATTCATCATCATCAGCAGCAACAGCAGCCGCGAGGCTAATTGCCCCTCCACGTTGGTTCCGCTTCAGCGCTCGCTTCTGATTGAGACGCGACTGGCGTTTCTCGCATGGTTTCAACGCTGATGACTTATGCATTGAATAAATAGAAACTCCGATTAATACGACATTAAACTTAGCCTAATTGGGGTGATGAATAATAAGCGGCTATAAGTGCAGGCCTTAATGAGGGAGGGAAAGAGAAGACAGAACATTGAATGCGGTATTGCTCAATACAATGAACGTCGTGCCCTTGTGCGTGTCTGTGTGCGTGTCGCTTGCGCTAGTCGTGTCTGTGTGCGTGTCTGTGTGCGTGTCGCTTGCGCTAGTCGTGTCTGTGTGTGTGTTTGTGTGCTTGTCGCTTGCGCTAGTCGTGTCTGTGTGTGTGTCTGTGTGCGTGTCGCTTGCGCTAGTTGTGTCTGTGTGCGTGTCGCTTGCGCTAGTTGTGTCTGCGTGCGTGTCGCTTGCGCTAGTCGTGTCTGTGTGTATGTCTGTATGTGTGTCTGTGTGCGTGTCGCTTGCGCTAGTCGTGTCTGTGTGCATGTTGCTTGCGCTAGTCGTGTCTGTGTGTGTCTGTGTGCGTGTCTGTGTGCGTGTCGCTTGCGTTAGTTGTGTCTGTGTGCGTGTCGCTTGCGCTAGTTGTGTCTGTGTGCGTGTGTGTGTGCGTGTCGCTCGCGCTAGTTGTGTACGTGTCTGTGTGTGCGTGTCTGTATGTGTGCGTGTTGCTTGCGCTAGTTGTGTCTGTGTGCGTGTCACTTGCGCTAGTCGTGTCTGTGTGCGTGTCTGTGTGCGTGTCTGTGTGCGTGTCGCTTGCGCTAGTTGTGTCTGTGTGTGTGTCTGTGTGTGTATGTGTGTGCGTGTCTGTATGTATCTGTATGTGTGTCTGTGTGTGTGTCTGTATGTGTCTGTGTGCGTGTGAGGAGCGAGTGTAGCGGTTAGCGCGCTGCGCTATGAACCCGGAGACACGGGTTCGATTCCCGCTCACGGCCAACACCAGTGACGCTAATCTTAACCGGTCCCGGGCCTCCCCTAGGTCGACTCAGCCTCAAATGAGTACCTGGTGCAGTGTGTAAACATTGCCACTGGGGAGACAAAGGCGGTCGGGCGTGGTGCTGGCCACCCACCCCCTCGTGCACCGTTACCGGCCTTCATAGGTGCTCGCTAACAGCACTTGCCCCTACAGTCTGTTAAGGCTATATGGGGGATCTGTGTGCGTGTCTGTGTGCGTGTCTGTGTGCGTGTCAGTGTGCGTGTCTGTGTGCGTGTCTGTGTGCGTGTCTGTGTGCGTGTCTGTGTGCGTGTCTGTGTGCGTGTCTGTGTGCGTGTCTGTGTGCGTGTCTGTGTGCGTGTCTGTGTGCGTTAGAATCTGCCCGATACCAGCCGTATCCCGAGGGTGAAATGGCGGGCACACAGAGTTTTGAAACCTATTTGGTCATGTCTTTATAATAATGATTAGTATGTATAAAAAAATAATTACGATTATAATCGTCAATCCATTTACATTTCGCCAACAAACTCGTCATTATTTTTACACGCATTGGGTAAGCCAGGGGAACATTTAGTCAGCATTTGTTTTGGCGCACAAAACGACACTCGCATGAACACCGCGGATATTCCATCTCGCTCTGAAATCAGAACACGACATCAAACCACCTACCCGTGTCGCTTTACTTATTTCGCTTGTTCCGCCTTTTTTCCTCGTGCTTTCTTTTTGGTAGATTTCACCGACTTTTCAATTCCATTTTCAGAACCATGGATTCACAAATGAAACAAAAAGAGACCGTTCGCTTTGCGCACTCGGATCCTGCAAGACACGAGGGGATGGAGAGAGAGGGCGAGCGAGCGGGAGGCTTAATCCGAGACAGAGCGGCTCCACATCTCCCCCAGATTTCCTTCTAACAGTCGCACCAGAAAACAACAACTGTTGTTGTAGCACTCATCATCATCATCCCCCAACCCCCAAAGCCCCACCTCCTCCTCCAATCCAACCACCACCACCACCTTACTAGCACCCAACACGTTAGCTTACTCACTCAAGGTCTTCTCACGTAGCTCACCGCCGCTGCTGCCGCCCTACGCTATGCATTGGCTGCGCGCTCTGGCAAAAACGCAACGCGAGAATGGTGACTTGGGGGGGGGAGCGAATCGCGTTGCGCACAAACGACCGAGTCGCCCCCCCCCCCCTCCCACCGCCCCTATCGGTAATTACGAAGCGTACTGAACACCGCGCCAACCCAGCCAGCGTGTGGACTCGCATAGAGCCCAACACACACCACAACAGCAGCAGCAGCAACAACACGCACAAAGACAAACACCAAAAGAACAAACGCATCAACCAGAGGGTACTTTCAAGATCGAGGGTGTGCGCGAAAGAGTGAAGCCGTTGCTGGTGTTTCGGGGGGGGGGACTAGGGGCTCGCGAAGCACCCAACCCCGATGTCGCTTCTCAAATGTTTGCGTCACAAAACATTTTCTCTCCCTCTCTCTTTTACCCACGAGATCGCTGGCTCGCTAAATCGAAAGGCGCCCCCCACTCCGAGCGCTGGGCACGTCGCGCCCTGCATGCTAATTCAGCGCGGCACCACCAAGTCGTCTCCCGGCTCCAGGGCGGGCGAGGCGGGCGAGGGAGCAGCTCCCGTGCCGCTGACAGCTCCTTCCCCGCACCTCCCGTTGGCACGGTAGGCTACGTACGGTGCGCAAGAAGTTCTACGCGCATGCGCAAACAGTCGCTAGGGGAACGCGAGAGCCACGTCGAGAGGGAGCGATAGATGGAGTGGTGGAGGGAAGGAGTTGGTGAGGTGTTGGTGAGGTGTTGGTGAGGTGTTGGTGAGCTGTTGGTGAGCTGTTGGTGAGCTGTTGGTGAGTTGTTGGTGAGGTGTTGGTGACCTGTTGGTGAGCTGTTGGTGAGCTGTTGGTGAGCTGTTGGTGAGCTGTTGGTGAGCTGTTGGTGAGCTGTTGGTGAGATGTTGGTGAGGTGTTGGTGACCTGTTGGTGAGGTGTTGGTGACCTGTTGGTGAGGTGTTGGTGAGATGTTGGTGAGGTGTTGGTGACCTGTTGGTGAGCTGTTAGTGAGCTGTTGGTGAGCTGTTGCGGGTGGGAAGAGGGGAGACCTTGGAGTATGGAGCTGGTAGAAAAGGATGCGGGTGAGAGATGGGTAGGGGACTTGGTGAGTGTTGGTGAGGTGCAGGGAGGGAGAGGTGGGGGTTGGGTGAGAGGAAGGGGTGACAATGGGCCAGGGGAGGGAGAGGGAAGATGGTGCCATGGCTTTGCAGACATCCAAAGAGCAGCAGCACCACACGCTCACGCCTGCTGTGGAGCTCTTCACGGTTATACGCGTGCATAGCTCTCCGATGTTGTATTACGTTCCCGACAAAGCTCTCAGAATGTTCAGTGAAACGTCGGACATCATGCCAAACAAACCGAAAACGTGTTGGAGAGCTACGCATGCATCAGCTCTCCTCTCTAAAGTCGTGTACAATAACACAGCGAATTGGCGGATTAGCTTGTTGTATGGTAGGTCTTGAATACATTGCATTATAGCCGCCACTACAGAGTGATGAATCAGGATATGAAAGATGGCTCAGCAGTTGAGCGAAAGGCTCACAATACAAATCCTCGTTGTGGGTCAACCTTACTCCAGCCCACAACAACACAACGAAGGTGACCAAGGCCACACGATCCTCTGTTCGTTGTCCTCTACTCCACTTGTGCACTCAAAAAAGCCTCATTGAGTCTCTTGTTCAGGAGGAAGGCCCTGCCAAGATTTTGCAGCAGGAGGAGATGTTGCAATTGTGCGATCCCAATCGCGTAATCTGGAGGTCATCGTTCCGCATTGGGAAGTGTCCTCTCGAGGTACTTGCCCCCACCACAGGAATGTGGAATTTCCAACATCACCGGCTCAGGGCTGTGAAGAGGAGATTGATCACGCCAGTGACGACGTTTCAAGGCTTATTTCAGAAGTAAATCGCTTTCACCTGACGCTTTCACAACGCCGTGCTGCTGCCAAGAAAAAGACGACAGCAGATGAATGCCCCACATTGTTTTTCAGAAAGAGACAATAGTTGCAACGAAGTAACCTCTAGCTCACAGTTATTTGCGAATTTGCAACAGATGCAGCCACCAAGTTAGATGGTTATCAAGGTGGCGAGAGACAGACGGGTCCGTTTGTGAGTGTAGCAAAGCAGTTCTTTCACCGTCTTATTTGTGTGAATAAAGTTGATGCATTTGTTAGAAGAAACTGAGAGGTTTTTTTTAAAGTTGGAGACGTGCGCTTGAATGGTACACACGCGTTTGGACCACATCCAATCCGATTTTCGCAAAGGTCTCAAATTTATCTCATGGGTTTCTCTGTGTGTGTGTGCTTCTTTTGTGGGGACTGGTGCCGCAGTGCTTAAAGTACTCCGCTTCAACACGGTGACCATGGTTCGATTCCTGCTCACAGCCACCATCACTGCATTTCTGAACCAGTCCTGGGCCTCCCCTAGGTCGCCTCAGCCTTAATTGAGTACCTGGTGCAGTGTCTAAACATCAGCACTCGGGAGACACACGCTGTCAGGCACAGTGCTGGCCTCCCGCCAGCTCATGTGCCGTGTCGACCTGAATTGGAACTCGCGAACAGTACAGGCCCTGACAGTCTGTTCAAGGCTACACGGGGGATCTTTGTCTTTTCTTTGTTCGTCCACAGTATACTCATTTCGCAGATCTCGCGGCATCGTTCAGCGTGTGCTGAGCAAGCCCACTTACTAAAGACGAGTGAGTGGGCTTGGGCAGGACACATCGCTTAGAAAGGATGATGGCAGATGGTCAAAGACTAATAACGGAGTGGCGGCCAAGGATGAAACGATTCCGTGAGGACATCCATGATGGAGGAGATGGAAGCAACGCAATCAATCCGCGTGCAAGTGCCGGGTGGACTATTGTCACATCTCTGGGTTCGTGAGAGACGGTGGTGGCTTGGGGAGGCCTTTGTCCAGCAGTGGATTTACCACGGCTGGTGATGACAAAACATGATTTTGACCATGACAACCCTTGTCAATCCACTGCTGGATGAAGCCCTACCCCCCCCCCCCCCCCGTCGTGTCGGTCATGGGCGGGGATGTTCACCTGTACCTCTACATTATTAACTAATGCCGGTTCGTGGAGGGGTATTACTGTACCATGAAAATAAAAAAAAATCTGAGAGTGTTGTGCGGATGATGCTTTGGTGGTCGGTGAAGTTCGGTGTTACAATCTCACGTGGTATTTATTTTATCCGGAGCAAGCAAGGACGCAATTGTAGGAAGCATTTTTTATTATTATTTTTTGGAGCACCGTTTTGTGAGCATGACAACAGAACCGGTGAATGGAGAGCAAAACATCCTTAATGATGGCAAAACATTTTCAGAACCTTCGTTAGAGGCAACCACCGCTGCTTGTGTCAGATTTGGTCTCCTCCCTCGCGCACCCATCAAAGCGCATCAGGGCGACGTTAGCGGCGCAGCGGCGTTTTGATTAAAATTCAATTAACGTCGCATGGACTTTCAATGATTAAACGTGCGCGCCTTGGCAGCCACAGGGTAACAGCACATGCTGCTCCAAGGCCCACAGCGTACAAAAGTTGCGCCACGCGCAGAAGGAATTTCCAACGAGCACACACATACACACACATACATACACATTGCCCTATACTATGCGTCCAGGAAAGCACCGCTGAGTCTCAAGACTCCTCTTCAGCGGCGTTCCTGCCTTGTCAGCCATGCGGAAATGGTATATACTGTACTAAAAAAATACACAGCACACTGAAGCCGTTTAAATGCACACACACGTATATAAATTATAACAATGTATAGCCCTTTGGTTCTATTCGGTAAAGTCACGTAGGCAAAAAATAAAACAACAAAAATCACGACGTTTCGGCCACAACACAAGCGGCCTTCATCAGATGAAGGGACCAGACTGTCTCGAAGACTGCGTGACTTTACCGAATAGAACCAAAGAGTATGGATCCTTGCAGTCACGAAAGCTTCAAATCTAGAATGTATAGCCCTTTGTTAATTCGCTGCTGGATGAATGCCTCCCCTGTGCAGTGTCGTTCATGTGGGTTGTTTGACCATACCTCACCACGCTGGTGAGCGCTGGCTGTTGGTGAACCGGTTCATGTCAATACTGCAAGTATCTGTGGCTGAGAATTTAACTCGGGTTGCCACGATCAAAGCGCCATCGCTCCACCCTTGCCATGTGGAATGCTCAATCATTGTTTGGGACAGCCTCGCCGAGCCTCAAGACTCCTCTGCAGAGGCTCCTGCTGCAGTTGGGATGTTTGACCAATTCGCCTTATGAGTGTTTAGTTTGTTGTCCTCCCCTACACCTCCGATTAGCACGGTTGGCTACGAACGGTGCGATAGAAGTTCAACATACATACGATCTGGAGAAATCCAACTCACATATACGAGGAGATAATACTCCAAGCTCTGCACAGATAGACTCATTCCACAGATAGACGTCCAGCACATTGAATATATGACATGCCAATGGGATCCACCGCTGTACACTGCCCTCTGCTGGCCATCTTGCACTTCCAGGTTCCGACACCACCTGGCAAGCACTGGCGGTCCCCCACACAAGCAGGCTCATCAACCAGGCTCAACCCCCTGCTTAGCTTCCAAGACCTGCAGAGATCAGGCATGCTCTCTTCTAAGCGTGCCTACCAAAAAGCAGCCGCCAATTGACGCCACATCCATAAGTGACTCTCATGACCCGATAGATACATTTACAACCGATTAAAATGCCATTACGCAATTATCGAGATGGTGTTTGCAGTGCTAAACAGCAGCGTGACTGTAACGAAATAAATTGTTTCGGAAACATTTTTTTGCAGGCAATAAAATGTCACCGTAGTAACCTATTTAAGCCAATTAAACCTTTGTATTGCTCAATTATGTTTCCAACTCAATTTAACTCGGCACAAGTAACGGATTCAAAACAACAGACATTGGAACGATTCACGCAAGTCAATTTTGCCAAACTGTTATAATTTCTATATTAAATATTGATGCCATTAAGCCGCAGTGTGCGACGCGCGCCTCTAAATTGTAAATGGTGACACAACTGTGGGCAGCATTGTTCCTACAGTGATTTTTGTTTGTCTCGGTGCATCGAGCAGAGCTGACCAGAATTTGACACGCACGTTAATGCATTCCTTTTAAGTGTGCCGGGTCAATCTGATTGACATGGTCTTTGACCAGTAGACAAGCCGATTGTTTATTTACATGCCACCCTCGTTAAATGCAGCACACATTCAGCGAAGATGAGAACTTCATCCACACCCCGAGAAACATCGCAGCCGATTTGAACCTGATGCAGCGTTATAGTCGCTCCACTCCTCGAGTATCTTTCCCAATATCACTCACATCGAATTCCTTTCTGCTTCCCGTTCCATCTGACAGCGACGTTTCCACGTTGGCACACGCGGCGACCTCCGCGCACTGCATTTGGATCTCGAACACAATCGTTTATTTCTCTCCCGCAAGCTTATCGCAAGCCACGATCCTTCACCCGCGGAAATCCTTATGAATTCGCAAGCTTTGACCACTTCAAACGAAGCGCAATTTGTTTGGCCTAAATTTGACACGCAATATGGATTTTCCCGGAGACTCTCGTCGGAGCGGATTTAGTGGGGATTGCCTTGGGGCTGCGGCGTGAACCAGAAGGCAGTGATGAAGACGTTGACAGCGGTGATCACCAGGATGAGACCCGTTGCCAAGTTGTTCACCAGATGCATCCTGCGTGGCACAGCGGGGCACAAAGAAGCGAAGCGCGCTTGATGTGATGGTGCGAGATTATTTTTTTACTAACTGGAAAATTGCTTGGGAAACAACCCATGAGGCAACAACACCCCCTTAACTGACAGACTCTATCCCACCTGTGAAACTTTGCACCTTTGCGATAGCCTTTGTGCCGTAGGCACGGCGTTTAGAGCAAACGTACGGCGTTTATTTATTTACGTTGGTATCAGCATTGCTCACGGCAAAAACATACTCCTAGAGGATAATGGCACGCATTGAGGAATCCCCCTCGGGAACGACAGGGATTCGAAGAATGACGTGAACATTCTCTGGTGGTTGAATAGACGATTTATTTTATTTTCAATATATATATAAAACATGAATAGGAATCAATAACACAAGGTAATCTCATCTATTACAGACTGCAGATCATTTGTAACCTTGACATGTACGGGCAAAATATTTCCACCGCTGTAGCTAATTATTATAATTAATAATAAATAATAACAATGATCAGGGGGGAGGGTGTGTGGGGGGGGGAATAAAAAAACGAGGACAGTTTTCGAAAACTAATTTAAAAGCATCAATTCTAATTAGCACCTATGGTGCAGCCTGTGGCTGCCTTGGCTAGAGGTGACAGGGTGACTGCAGGGAGTACGTACGTCGAAAAGCACTCACGCTTGGCCTTTACTTTGTTAGCTCGGCCTTATTTGGGGGGGGGGCAATTTCAAGAAAGCGTGGTTAAACAGAACAAGCGAGCGCCGTTGCTTGCAAGATGAGGCATCGGCTGATGTATGGGGAAGCACCTCCTCCCCCCCCTAACTGCACCAAAATAGACACGAGACCATCACATAATAAAGCGGTGAGCTCTCGGTTTTGACCTAAGTGGGAGGCTGATAGAGGATAGCAAGGAAGCCTTGAAAAAAGGGGTAAGATTGGCTCACGTAGACGACAAGATCATCCATCGTGAAACCTATGGCGCACTACAGCCCGGGCACGACAAATGGACTAAAATATTTGCACCGTTCGAAATTCGGGGGCTTGGCCACCGGGGTTACGCCGACGACGCGTGAAGGCGGCGGCGTCAGATTGAGGCACAAATGGGCAGGTGGAGGTCGTGACCTGGGAGAAGGTGACGCGGACTGACACCGTGAAGATATGCGAGCAAGCTAGCGGCGATAAATGATTGTTTCTCTTGTTTGATCTGCTGCGCTGGGATGGCAGTGGCTAGGTTTGTTCCTCCCCCCCCCCCCCCCCATAGTTTTCACCAATCAAGAAGCGTCTCTAATCTCGCGAGCGTGGTCGTGCGGTATCACTCGCCGACGGGTTTTCGTGTTGTGACGCGTGCTCTTCGGCGTCGCGTCCGACGTTTCGCTCGCTGCACCTGCCGGGAACTTCGCTTCTGAGAAAGAAGCCCCTAGCCCGACTGCGGAAGAGGCATTGGCCCGTCTTGTGCTTTTCTTGGCCATGGGGGTTGTTCAACCGTACTTCACCATGGTGGTCAATGTGGATTGTTGAACAGAGAAGGTTCCAGGACCGGGTCGGATATCACTCGCCACTGATGCCAGATGTGGCGAGGAATTAAATTCGAGTGTCCGAGTTTCGTTGCTTAGTGCACTAACCAATGTACTACCACTCTAACCCAACGTCGCAAAATCCCATCTTAAATAAATAGTTTGATTATATTTCCAACCATGCTTATCCAAATCAAAAACAAGTCTAAGAAGACCTGTTTAATCACCCACTAATTTAAAACCAAAATACAGTCGTAAAAAAGTGCATATTAATATTCAATTGTATGACAATTGCGTTATTCCTAAATTAATATGCATATGCGCTGACTGCCGACAGACAGTAATGCAAGTGCCACATGAAGTCACCCACTGTGACAATGCCTGCCTGGCAAGAGCACACAGTTTAACAGAGCAGTCTGGAAATATCACTAGCCAATGAAACAACAACAACAACATCAACAACATCAACAACATCAACACACCAATAATATAGACACTTTTCACCACTCCTATTTGCAAATAATGGTCTAGCGTTTCAGGGAACAGCAGGTAAAGTTTAAATCCCAAACCGCTCCGTGAAAAAGCATCCCAGGTTGGTGTGTAGCAGCTATTGACCGTCCAGTAGAATTGACTGTTAGAAAATCGATGGCTTTATTCTCAATTCTCTTGCAAGGGCTTTATTATCCCATTCCACCCCTTGTTTGGTGCACGAGACAGCATTGATCTGGATATTTCAACCTTATATTAATGTTTCTGCACTCGTGCGGGCATAGCAAAAGGAAAACAGCATGTTTCAAATGAGCGCCGGGAACTTTTCATTCTTTGGTATAAACAAAGAAGAAGATGACAAATCAAAACAAACACCTGTCCAGCACTGTTACGCAATCTCACACGCATGCTCACCTGTCGCTCAGCTTCCGCTCAGGGTCGTCGTTCTCTACATTCATGGAGCCTTTGTAGATCAGCAGGCCGGCCACGATAAGCTGCAATAAAACTGAAATGCACTGCAACAAGTGAAAGATTGATTAGTACACCCGAACAACCACGCATGGGTATATAGGTCAAGCTGATATAGGGTAAGCTGCTTCGCAAATAAAAACGTTTCAATAAAAATGTTTGTAAATGACATTCAACGAATATTTACAGTATTTGCTAATTACAATTGATGCGATGTCCTGTTGAGAAATGTGCCTTGTGGAAATAATGTTGTATTATCATGTTTTCGGTCAGTTCCACAATCGTGAAACTACGAAACAGAACCTGACAATCACAGCATTTAACGGAATACATTATTTACTGTTTTATAAATACAGTAGCGTGTTGGTGCAATATACATAAAAGAGGCCATGCCATTTCCGCGTTTTCAATTTGCATGCATTGTTCTGGTATTTACGCTTCCGTGACATGGCCCATTTAGCTCTAGATTTGAAGTTTTCGTGACTGCGAGGATTCATACTCTTTGGTTTTTTCGGTAAAGTCACGTAGGTTAAAAATTAAAATAAAATAAATCACGACGTTTCAGGTGCAACACAAGCATCCTTCTTCAGGTGGGGACAACGTAGCGAAAGCACACCGCTTAAGTGTCACACTTAAAGCACACCGCTTAAGTGTCACACTTAAGTGTCACACTTAAGCGGTGTGCTTTCGCTAAGGACGTTTGTGTTGCGCCCGAAACGTCGTGATTTAATTTATTTAAAATTTTTACCTACGTGACTTTACCGAAAAAAACAAAGAGTATGGCCCATTTAGCGTTTACTTCGGTTGGGCGTTTTTATCGAATCTTCATGAATGAATTGACATGGAGCCTCGTTTTAATTTTCAGCGACAGTAAAACAACAGTGGGCTCTACCCACACACCTGATACAAGACACTTGTCCTCTCAATACCAAATGCCTCTATGTATGTTGAGATTTTGCCCAATCAATATGAAAACAAGGTGTGCACACCAACACTATATGGCCAATTTCGTGCAGAGAAAGCATTTACATGTCAGAGTTAGGTGATTGTAGTTCAGAGAAAAGTTACTCGCTAAGAGAAAAAAGTATGCAAAGAGGCATGGAGAGGTGCATGCTGGGAATTACACTGAGGGGCAGCAGAGGTTTAGTCTGCTTCTTAATTCGGCACCTTACTAACTCATGTAGTCAAAGATGACGATACTCACGATGGCCTGATAATAATGAAACTCTTTAATATTAATGAAAAACAGGAACAACCGCGAAAGGCAGCTTACTGCAACTCACAACAGAGCTTTGCCCTCACTGTGCAAAACTACTGGAAGAAAATGGCACCGGCCCTATTACCATGACGACCAAACGCAAGTTGACTACAGAGCCATCATCACATTGCCAGTTGTGAAACGTAAGAGGGGTTTTGGCAGGACACGTCATTCGAGGGAATGATGGCCAGTGGTCGAGACTAACGGTGGAGTGGAGGCCAAAAGAGATAATACGCTCATGACCACGTCGTCTATGGAGACGGAGCGATAAAATCAACCCCCGCGCAGGAATCTGGCGAATTGTTAAATCACGAGATCATGATATATGGTGACAGCTTTGGATGGCCTTCATTCAGCAGTAGCTAGATCATGGTTGTTGATGATTAATGTCAGGGAGAGAGGCTTGTCTGAAAATCACCCACTCTCCCACAAGTCTCCGAACTCCCAGGAATCTCCCACCCACTCTCCCACAAGTCTCCCACCTACTCTCCCACAAGTCGCCCACCCACTCTCCCACAAGTCTCCCACCCCCACTCTCCCACAAGTCTCCCACCCACTCTCCCACAAGTCTCCCACCCCCACTCTCCCACATGTCCCCCACCCACTCTCCCACAAGTCCCCCACCCACTCTCCCACAAGTCTACCACCTCCACTCTCCCACAAGTCTCCCACCTACTCTCCCACAAGTCGCCCACCCACTCTCCCACAAGTCTCCCACCCCCACTCTCCCACAAGTCTCCCACCCACTCTCCCACAAGTCTCCCACCTCCACTCTCCCACAAGTCTCCCACCCCCACTCTCCCACAAGTCTCCCACCCACTCTCCCACAAGTCTCCCACCTCCACTCTCCCACATGTCCCCCACCAACTCTCCCACAAGTCCCCCACCCACTCTCCCACAAGTCTACCACCTCCACTCTCCCACAAGTCTCCCACCCCCACTCTCCCACAAGTCTCCCACCCACTCTCCCACAAGTCTCCCACCTCCACTCTCCCACATGTCCCCCACCAACTCTCCCACAAGTCCCCCACCCACTCTCCCACAAGTCTACCACCTCCACTCTCCCACAAGTCTCCCACCCACTCTCCCACGAGTCTCCCACCCACTCTCCCACAAGTCTCCCACCCACTCTCCCACAAGTCTCCCACCCACTCTCCCACAAGTCTCCCACCTCCACTCTCCCACAAGTCTCCCACCCACTCTCCCACAAGTCCCCCACCCACTCTCCCACAAGTCTCCCACCCACTCTCCCACAAGTCTCCCACCCACTCTCCCACAAGTCTCCCACCCACTCTCCCACAAGTCCCCCACCTCCACTCTCCCACAAGTCCCGCACCCACTCTCCCACAAGTCTCCCACCCACTCTCCCACAAGTCTCCCACCCACTCTCCCACAAGTCTCCCACAAGTCACCCACCCACTCTCCCACAAGTCTCCCACCCACTCTCCCACAAGTCTCCCACCCACTCACCCACATGTCTACCACCCACTCTCCCACAAGTCTCCCACCCACTCTCCCACAAGTCCCCCACCCACTCTCCCACAAGTCTCCCACAAGTCTGCCACCCACTCTCCCACAAGTCTCCCACCCACTCTCCCACAAGTCTCCCACCCACTCTCCCACAAGTCTCCCACCCACTCTCCCACAAGTCTCCCACCCACTCTCCCACAAGTCTCCCACCCACTCTCCCACAAGTCCCCCACCCACTCTCCCACAAGTCTCCCACAAGTCTGCCACCCACTCTCCCACAAGTCTCCCACCCACTCTCCCACAAGTCTCCCACCCACTCTCCCACAAGTCTCCCACCCACTCTCCCACAAGTCCCCCACCCACTCTCCCACAAGTCTCCCACAAGTCTGCCACCCACTCTCCACAAGTCTCCCACCCACTCTCCCACAAGTCTCCCACCCACTCTCCCACAAGTCCCCCACCCACTCTCCCACAAGTCTCCCACCCACTCTCCCACAAGTCTCCCACCCACTCACCCACATGTCTACCACCCACTCTCCCACAAGTCTCCCACCCACTCTCCCACAAGTCCCCCACCCACTCTCCCACAAGTCTCCCACAAGTCTGCAACCCACTCTCCCACAAGTCTCCCACCCACTCTCCCACAAGTCTCCCACCCACTCTCCCACAAGTCTCCCACCTCCACTCTCCCACAAGTCTCCCACCCACTCTCCCACAAGTCCCCCACCCACTCTCCCACAAGTCTCCCACCCACTCTCCCACAAGTCTCCCACCCACTCTCCCACATGTCCCCCACCCACTCTCCCACAAGTCTCCCACCCACTCTCCCACAAGTCTCCCACCCACTCTCCCACAAGTCTCCCACCCACTCTCCCACATGTCTACCACCCACTCTCCCACAAGTCTCCCACCCACTCTCCCACAAGTCCCCCACCCACTCTCCCACAAGTCTCCCACCCACTCTCCCACGTCTCCCACCCACTCTCCCACAAGTCTCCCACCCACTCTCCAACAAGTCTCCCACCCACTCTCCCACAAGTCTCCCACCCACTCTCCCACAAGTCCCCCACCCACTCTCCCACAAGTCTCCCACCCACTCTCCCACAAGTCTCCCACCCACTCTCCCATAAGTCCCCCACCCACTCTCCCACAAGTCCCCCACCTCCACTCTCCCACAAGTCTCCCACCCACTCTCCCACAAGTCTCCCACCCACTCTCCCACAAGTCTCCCACCCACTCTCCCACAAGTCTCCCACCCACTCTCCCACAAGTCCCCCACCGCCACTCTCCCACAAGTCTCCCACCCACTCTCCCACAAGTCTCCCACCCACTCTCCCACAAGTCTCCCACCCACTCTCCCACCCACTCTCCCACAAGTCTCCCACAAGTCTCCCACCCCCACTCTCCCACAAGTCTCCCACCCACTCTTCCACAAGTCTCCCACCCACTCTCCCACACGTCTCCCACCCACTCTCCCACAAGTCTACCACCCACTCTCCCACAAGTCCCACCTCCACTCTCCCACAAGTCTCCCACCCACTCTCCCACAAGTCCCCCACCTCCACTCTCCCACAAGTCTCCCACCCACTCTCCCACAAGTCTCCCACCCACTCTCCCACAAGTCCCCCACCTCCACTCTCCCACAAGTCTCCCACCCACTCTCCCACAAGTCTCCCACCCACTCTCACACAAGTCTCCCACCCACTCTCCCACCCACTCTCCCACAAGTCTCCCACAAGTCTCCCACCCCCACTCTCCCACAAGTCTCCCACCCACTCTCCCACAAGTCTCCCACCTCCACTCTCCCACAAGTCTCCCACCCACTCTCCCACAAGTCTCCCACCCACTCTCCCACAAGTCCCCCACCCACTCTCCCACAAGTCTCCCACCCACTCTCCCACAAGTCTCCCACCCACTCTCCCACAAGTCTCCCACAAGTCTCCCACAAGTCTCCCACCCACTCTCCCACAAGTCTCCCACCCACTCTCCCACAAGTCTCCCACCCACTCTCCCACAAGTCCCCCACCTCCACTCTCCCACAAGTCTCCGACCCACTCTCCCACAAGTCTCCTACCCACTCTCCCACAAGTCTCCCACAGACTCTCCCACCCACTCTCCCACAAGTCTCCCACAAGTCTCCCACCCCCACTCTCCCACAAGTCTCCCACCCACTCTCCCACAAGTCTCCCACCCACTCTCCCACCCACTCTCCCACAAGTCTCCCACAAGTCTCCCACCCCCACTCTCCCACAAGTCTCCCACCCACTCTCCCACAAGTCTCCCACCTCCACTCTCCCACAAGTCTCCCACCCACTCTCCCACAAGTCTCCCACCCACTCTCCCACAAGTCACCCACCCACTCTCCCACAAGTCTCCCACCCACTCTCCCACAAGTCTCCCACCCACTCTCCCACAAGTCTCCCACAAGTCTCCCACAAGTCTCCCACCCACTCTCCCACAAGTCTCCCACCCACTCTCCCACAAGTCTCCCACCCACTCTCCCACAAGTCTCCCAGCCACTCTCCCACAAATCTCCCACCCACTCTCCCACAAGTCCCCCACCCACTCTCCCACAAGTCTCCCACTCTCCCACAAGTCTCCCACAAGTCTCCCACCCAGTCTCCCACAAGTCTCCCACTCTCCCACAAGTCTCCCACTCCCAGGATAGGGTGTGTGTGTGTGTGTGTGGCGGTGGACGTGAGCGGGCACTGACGAGCAGGACGAAGAGGAAGTAGTAGAAGTCTGTGGCTGCTCCTTGCTGCAGCAAGTGCTTGAGCTGCGAGACGTTCGCAGTGAAGAGAGCCATGTCCAGGAAGCCCTGCGCCAGCGTCTTGGTCCGAGCGTACTGGTTGATGTTCCGTATGATCTGGCCCAGTTGACACAAACGCAGCAGCAGCAAGAGTCATTTACTGCTTGCGTGGGAGCTTTGCCGCAACAATTCACTCTCACCCAGCCTCGAGTAATTCGACGAAATGTCACCATCTGAGGATGATATTTGATGCAAGAATTGATGGATTTTGTCTCGTTTTTTCCTAACAATTTCATTTGTTTCATTCCGTCTTGGTTCCGTCTCATTTGTAAGAAATGTTTTTGCCCCGTTCGCATGAATGTAACATAAGCATATGATTTGTATAATTATCGATCACAGATTATTACACTAGCGTTCTATGCATGTATCATGAGCATGGCAATTAATTGATAACGCTATGCATCATGACGTGATAATGTGCAGCACCAACATTCTTGCCCAGAGATTTTTCTGCATCAAATTAATTGCCTTCAGAGTTAGCACAATCTGTTAAGGACTACGCATATAATCGTTGTGCTTCGATTCAAGCTATGTACAGGTACTGTACGTTTAAAATATATATTGTTTGTTACTTTCCCTCAAAATCTGGAAAGAAAACAACAAGGAATGTAAACGTGGACCACGTAAAAAAAAAATGCGGAACATGTTTTCTGTTGCAGTTTGTTTTGGTCAGCGGGATACATGGTGAGGTCTCAAGTTGTCACGTTGCTCCGGCTGAATCAGGGGCTCTTCATCCGTGGAGAAACCCTCTCGGCTGTCTTCTGGCGGTTGGCACAGCATCCCCGGGTATCTCTGGATCAGCGCGGAGCTCATCAAAAAATGTGTCCACTCTTATTTCGGGGAAGTGAAAGTCACCTCTACCCCTCCCTCTTGCCCTGCCGTTCAAAGAAAGGATACATGTATTAGCCCTCGATGAAGAAATCAAATTACACTTTCACCTGCCGCAGGTAACCACCAGGCAATAGATAATGCACGAGGTCAAGCGATTCAAGTGCTCCTGTATTTTTCATGGAGCGCCTTACATTACATTTTTGATGATCATACATTTTAATGTAAAAATCTCATTTTCGTTTGGGCTTGACATCGTCCGTGTGCATCTTTTCTCGTTAAAAAGTAATTCCCAGATTGTGCGTTTTTTTTTACTTTAAAGTTTAAATGGTGTGGTACAGTGGTCAGATCAAACACTATCTCAACAGTCAATGGAACATTAAATACTCATACCAAAACAGGTCAAAGTCATTGATTTTTCAAGTGAAAATTGTAGCCAGTCCTCGTCTTTTCTTCACTGCCCCAAAGTGGCGGAAATTCCACATTCCGATGATGCGGGTGAGTTTCTCCAGAGGACAAACCCCTCTTAATGTCCGAACACCCAAAGTGGTAGCAATTTTATCGGCCAATGAGGACTGATTGGCTGAGTCAACTCCCTGAGGATTTGAACTCACATCTGTCCAATTGCGAGCCACTTGCTCTACGTGCGAGTCACCTTGCCAGCTGTATACAGTTTTCGTATGTGACACCAACGTATATATTATTATTATTTTTATTACAAAACACACGAGAGGAAGACATCGAAGAGTAATGTCAAGGCAAATAAACAACTAATACAATACCTCCCCCAGAAGTTGTGTGAGAGCAGACGTTCACGCTCGCTGGCAGGCTAACAAGTGAGAGATATTTTTTCGTTTTCGCGTAGTGAACACATTCCGATCTGGAAAGCGCAGTTCAGCAGAGTGGCGGACAAACAGCGCAGCACTCCCATCACGAGGAGAAACGTCACCACAACACCACCACCACCACAGCACCACAACCAACAGCACCACCACCACAGCACCACCACCACCAACAGCACCACCACCAGAGCACCACCACCACCACAGCACCACCACCACCAACAGCACCACCACCACAGCACCACCACCAACAGCACCACCACCACAGCACCACCACAGCACCACCACCAGAGCACCACCACCACCACCACAGCACCACCACCACCAACAGCACCACCACCAACAGCGGCAGCCCGCCGAGACAAATTCACTGCAACATTCACGTGTCAGCAGCAACATTTTTTTGCAACTCACGATTGGGCCACACCGTAACGATCACAAGCCGAGGTACAAAAGTGATCTCGTTTGACCAACCCGACGTTGACAGCAAAATAGACACGGCCCTGAAGTGCGCTATCACTGTTGTCGACATGCTCGTTATGAAACACTTGTTGTGACCCGTCTTGACCCTACTCTGCGTGATATGTACACAGATCCCTCCTGCATGCGAGACTGCCGTGGTCTCTTGAGTTCTCAACTGGTTACACAAAAACACTTCACTTGACACATCAACACGGCTTCAATGTGTGTGGGACAGAAGTCTGGCAACTTCACATGTGGCTGGTATGCGACGAATCTACGGATCTTGAGATATAGGAGACGTCAGACAGTGCCTCTGTACACATTCCATTTTAACAATGGCGAGGGGAGTGGTAGCAGAGTGGTTTGTGCACTGCACGATGAATTGCACCTCCAGAGTTCCATTCCAGGCAGTGACCAACATCAGTGGGGGCCCTCCTCCCTCGACAAACCTGCAGTGACCAGCGTGGTGAAATATGGTCAAACAACTCCCCCCCCCACCTTGGCAAACGGATGCCTTATTCCCGCAGTGGATTGACAAATGTCTTTGTATATTAATAAAGGCAACATATCCCCTTTTTAAAGTACCAAATAGGAGCATACATATGTATATTAGACTATACATGTCAATAATAAGTGGATTCACGTATAATTGATGAGATTCTGTGTGGATTATCACATCGCAGAATCTTAAGAGGTGGCATGGGGAGGCCTTTATCGCTCATGGCTGATGATGAAGTGCAGTAATAATTAAGCGTTTTTGTCGCTGTGCCATCCTCGACAAAAGGGGCATTATCCGCTCGCGTCCAACCTAACTAAAGCATCGCGCCCACTCACCCCACTCCCTGATTAAACCTACTGATTGCCGGCAATACAGTTGGGAAAGTACCCTGTTGGACCACACTGTACCTTGCTGGACCACACAGTACACTGATGGACCACACAGTACACTGATGGACCACACAGTACCCTGTTGGACCACACAGTACCCTGATGGACCACACAGTACACTGTTGGACCACACAGTACACTGTTGGACCACACAGTACCCTGATGGACCACACAGTACCCTGATGGACCACACAGTACACTACTGGACCACACAGTACACTGTTGGACCACACAGTACCCTGATGGACCACACAGTACACTGTTGGACCACACAGTACACTGTTGGACCACACAGTACCCTGATGGACCACACAGTACCCTGATGGACCACACAGTACACTACTGGACCACACAGTACCCTGATGGACCACACAGTACACTGATGGACCACACAGTACCCTGCTGGACCACACAGTACACTGATGGACCACACGGTACACTGCTGGACCACACAGTACACTGTTGGACCACACAGTACCCTGATGGACCACACAGTACACTGATGGACCACACAGTACACTGATGGACCACACAGTACACTGATGGACCACACAGTACCCTGTTGGACCACACAGTACACTGTTGGACCACACAGTACCCTGTTGGACCACACAGTACACTGATGGACCACACAGTACACTGTTGGACCACACAGTACACTGTTGGACCACACAGTACACTGATGGACCACACAGTACCCTGATGGACCACACAGTACACTGATGGACCACACAGTACCCTGTTGGACCACACAGTACCCTGATGGACCACACAGTACACTGTTGGACCACACAGTACACTGATGGACCACACAGTACACTGTTGGACCACACAGTACACTGATGGACCACACAGTACACTGATGGACCACACAGTACCCTGATGGACCACACAGTACACTGCTGGACCACACAGTACACTGATGGACCACACAGTACACTGTTGGACCACATAGTACACTGTTGGACCACACAGTACCCTGTTGGACCACACAGTACACTGATGGACCACACAGTACACTACTGGACCACACAGTAAACTGTTGGACCACACAGTACCCTGCTGGACCACACAGTACCTTGCTGGACCACACAGTACCCTGATGGACCACACAGTACACTGATGGACCACACAGTACACTGTTGGACCACACAGTACCCTGTTGGACCACACAGTACACTGTTGGACCACACAGTACCCTGCTGGACCACACAGTACACTGTTGGACCACACAGTACACTGTTGGACCACACAGTACCCTGATGAACCACACAGTACACTGTTGGACCTCACAGTACACTGTTGGACCACACAGTACACTACTGGACCACACAGCACACTGCTGGACCACACAGTACCCTGTTGGACCACACAGTACACTGTTGGACCACACAGTACACTGATGGACCACACAGTACCCTGTTGGACCACACAGTACCCTGTTGGACCACACAGTACACTGTTGGACCACACAGTACCCTGATGGACCACACAGTACTCTGCTGGACCACACAGTACACTGATGGACCACACAGTACCCTGCTGGACCACACAGTACACTGATGGACCACACAGTACCCTGCTGGACCACACAGTACACTGATGGACCACACAGTACCCTGCTGGACCACACAGTACACTGATGGACCACACAGTACCCTGCTGGACCACACAGTACTCTGCTGGACCACACAGTACACTGATGGACCACACAGTACACTGATGGACCACACAGTACCCTGCTGGACCACACAGTACACTGATGGACCACACAGTACCCTGCTGGACCACACAGTACTCTGCTGGACCACACAGTACCCTGATGGACCACACAGTACTCTGCTGGACCACACAGTACTCTGCTGGACCACACAGTACACTGATGGACCACACGGTACACTGCTGGACCACACAGTGCCCTGTTGGACCACACAGTACCCTGATGGACCACACAGTACACTGATGGACCACACAGTACCCTGCTGGACCACACAGTACACTGATGGACCACACAGTACACTGATGGACCACACAGTACCCTGATGGACCACACAGTACACTGTTGGACCACATAGTACACTGTTGGACCACACAGTACCCTGATGGACCACACAGTACCCTGCTGGACCACACAGTACCCTGCTGGACCACACAGTACACTGATGGACCACACAGTACACTGATGGACCACACAGTACACTGTTGGACCACACAGTACACTGATGGACCACACAGTACACTGATGGACCACACAGTACACTGATGGACCACACAGTGCCCTGTTGGACCACACAGTACCCTGATGGACCACACAGTACACTGATGGACCACACAGTACCCTGCTGGACCACACAGTACACTGATGGACCACACAGTACACTGATGGACCACACAGTACCCTGATGGACCACACAGTACACTGTTGGACCACATAGTACACTGTTGGACCACACAGTACCCTGATGGACCACACAGTACCCTGCTGGACCACACAGTACCCTGCTGGACCACACAGTACACTGATGGACCACACAGTACACTGATGGACCACACAGTACACTGTTGGACCACACAGTACACTGTGCAGTTGGGTCATCATCGCAGCGGCTTTTGGCTAACCATCGATAAAAGACGGTCACTGCATCATGCGCTTTCAGATACGCTTCTGCGGCCGTCTGGAACGCTCTTCCTTCCTATATTAGGAAGCCACTGGAGCGATGGACTTTTAAATCTAGTTTGAAAACGCATTTCTTTATAACTGTTTTTTGTGTGTTTAGCTTGTTGTGCTTCCCCCACACCTCTGATGAGCACGGTTGGTGACGTACAGTGAGAAAGAAGTTCAAGATACATCGTCGTCACCACCACCACCAGCAGCAGCAGCAGCCACTGCTGAACGAAAGCTACCCCACATCGTCACTGCGACCCACCGTGCTGCGATGTCGCGATCTCTCTGGGGGCCGCACGTGAACGAAGCTCTCTGCTCGCGACTGCTGTCCCCGCTCGTCTCGCCAACCCTCCCCGCCCAGGCGCACCGACTCTGTCGCTACAAATCGTTTGGCGGTGCCGCTTTGACAGCGGTGCGAAGGCACAAACAGCAACAACAAAAAGTCCACACGTTCGTCACGAAGTGAAAGACAAATATTTAAGATGCGTAATAGGGAATGATTTGGGCAATGGCCTTTTTTTAACGCCTGTGTTTATGGTGGTTTTATTGATGGACGTGCCGAGCAATTTAACCATTTTTAACAGTTACTATGATGCCTATGTGTTGTTATTTATGTTTGCAGCGTAGTTGACAGCGTGCATCACTCTCCATGCCGCTGGTGTGTAAAAGAACGTTGTTGGCCAGGCGGTGTTTGAATGTCACGGTGGCAGGCGCAGGGCTTGGAGGAGGGAGCATTGTCGATTCGGGATGAGACAAATTCTAAAGAGCAGGAGCTCTTGCGGGCACAAGCAACGCCATCGCCGCGCTTGCGACGTTATTTATTGCCCTTGTTTACTCTGCTGTCAGCAATTGCGATCGCCAGGCGTTGCAGCAGCCAGACCCATTTAATTCGTGAATAGCTCGGTCATTATCGAAGCGGTCTTGCACGCCGTAATGCAATGAACAAGCGGGCAATATGGGCAAACTATAAGCTAATCGCGAGCGAATCGCCCGACTGTATTCTAAAGCCCATGTGTGATTAGAATGAGCGAAATTGAAGAAAGCACGGTGGTGTGGACCTCAATAGCGCTACACACATTTAAATAAGCGATGATAGGTGTAAAAATCTCCAGTTTATTTTTTTTACTGAAACACGATTCGCTGCACGGAAACAAATGCGAGTCGATCTCCGCGCGCTGCCAACGTCATGCGCCGTGCATTGACTTGAACGTCCGTGCCAGCAGGCGGGACACGCGGGGGACATGGGGGCCGAGAGGCTCTCCCGCAGTGTGGCCGCGAGAGCCGGGGAGAATCAACGCGTCCGTTCGTTCACGTTCGTGAGCAGAGTGAGCAGGCCGGGCTCTCCGCCCGCGGGGAGCGGCTGGGGTGGGTGGGAGATCGGCTGGCCTGGCAACGCTACGAGTGATACGTCGCAAAAGCACAGCTCCGCATCATCCGGCTCAACAGATATGTGGTTATTTGTTTATTTATTTAGGCGACAAGTCTCGCCACCCCACGGAACCCTGCCTCCCGCGCTTAGTCCAGCTTTTAAAAATGTGTACCTGCCGCTGGTGTTGTTAAGCATGTCAGGACTTGTGATGTGCTTGTAGCACGTTGCTAAATTAGGGGGCTCAAAGGCAGAGCGAGCAGGCTCGCAATCGGAATGCCGTGAGGTCACATCCTGGTGTGAGGCTGACTCAGCCTATCATCCCGACGGGGTCGATAAAATAGTTATCGTACCACTTTGTGGGGAAGTCAACGCGGTTGTTCTATGGATGTCAACTCACCCTCACCATCCGATGCGGCATGTCTACGATTGGTTCAGAGATGTAAACAGGAGATGAGCAACGTTCCAATGCTCATTTACGCAGGAAATCAGTTTGACTACGTACAAAATATATATATAAACATAGGTGAGCGATAAGATCAAGTTTAAAGGTGTGTGCTTTAGCAATGTCGAATACAATTAACAAGGCTCTGGCAAAGCAATTCATGTAAATTATAATATAATGATGATGAATGAATAAAGATGAACTTGGAAAGAAAACTGCTTGAGCTTTAAGTGCCGTAAATTACCTGATTAAAGTGTGCTAAGCACACTCATCGCGAAATGAACCAACACTTCATTCAGCCGCTTTTAATCCCCCGGCTTTAACAAGTCGGCTCCGTTGGCCCTCCCTGACTGGCGCTGGAGCCAATTTAACGCAAACCTGAAAGTTAATGACCTACATTTACTGAAGAACGCAGTGCAATGCTCAAACAAATCAAACTACGTGTGCCTGTTTATGATGTGATCAGCCGATCTTGGGGCTCTGCGTTATCAAGATGAGAAAATGAAAGTAGATGGACTGATCAAAATCAAGAACACACTCAGAAAATATACAAGGACACGCATGTCACATTTCCACAAGCCACAGGCTGATGGGAGAGCTTTGGTCTGATTAAACGGCGCGGATTAGGATATTAGTAAACATATAACGTGGAATTTTCACCACCAGGATGCATGGATTATTTAGCTGTAACCAAGCCAGATCCGTGATAACGTTGTGCAATAGTGACGGTGATACAACGAGCTCAAAGTTAGTGGCTCTCCGGTTGCATGGACCACTATTGTGCTAACATTTGCAGCACTGCATTTCCACAGTGCCTCTCAGTGTTATTTTTAATAATGCAGAATGTTACACTTCGTAAATGTAGCAGTTCCATTCTGTTTTCCGTGAGCCATTGTGAATCACAGATAATGTTGTGAAAGCCCTAATCTCGAGCAATACAAATCCATAAAACAGGTTTTCTTTGTTTAGATTGCGTAAATATATAATTAAAAATATTACCCGATGAGCCACAAACAATGGAATTGGACTTCGCATTGATGTGCCACAGTTCAACACTAATCCACTGCTGGATGAGGGCCTCCCCACGCCATGTAGGCTGTCGGTTTAACAATACCTCACCGCGTTTGTCAGTGCCGGTTGGTAAAGGTAGGGAGCATAGACGTGGGAGCATAGCAGTAGAGTACAACAATGGATGTTGCTGCACTGCTTTCTCCTGCCCACAGCATTGTCCTGCAGACTCTCACACCTTTATTGTGTGGAAGTCGCCCATCCAAGCACCATCCAGTTCAAATATGCTTAGCTTCTTACATTCATACATGTGCTGTGCTATTGTGGCAGCATGAATAGAGTACATGAAAGTGCAATTGTATGCATTTATTTTCTCTCCCACCAGTCAGATATAATAGCTAAAGCTTAAGACACTCAGGCTCGACATTTCATTCCGAATATCGTGCCAAAGCAGATACATAGCATAAAATGAATTGGCAGAAGGAGGCAGATGACCTATCAGATTGGTTACAGGCGAATTGTGTCTGACAGCCTAAACGAGCCAGTAAAGCAAGCCAACAGCTCATACTCATATTGGAAAGAAAGTCAAATTTAAAGCACCCATCAACATAAATATCCAAGGAGAGCGCTAATTCGTAAATCAATTATACATGACTGTAAACTAAATGTTTGCGCATTACGGCAGATCGGTGTCTGTATAATTTATGTGGTGAGCATTATTCGGGGCGGTATTTTATCCCAAGCCATCTTAAGGTCACCAGAAGACTAAAAACACGACCTTTTTCAGCCGTGAGTCGATGCGAGTGAAGTCATGAGCTGACACAGCCACGGGCTGCTCGTCTGAAGCTCTGAGACACTGATTTTTTTTTAATGCCCAGAGGTTCCCCGATACATCACACCACTCAAAGTGAAATTCCACACAGGATCCCACAGCTGCGGCGTATATCGTCGTTTTTTTTAAATGGCTAAGGGGGGCGTTGGAGGGGATTCAACTGCCAAACACATTCTGAGAAATCGCAAAGACGGAGTTTACGGGCGTGCAATTTGACATTAAATTGCACCAACCCCGTCAACAAAAATACAGCTTCGATTTTAGGAATCACAGCGTTATCCCCTGATTGTAGGAATCTGTCCCTCTTGTAAATTGGACGTTGTTAGCACAGCGTCACAGCAACCTGTGGACCTAGGCAACCAAACCTTTACTGGCGAGTAGGTATGGATAGACTAATGCCCCAGTGTAACCTGTGGGTCAATTTATAAAACGACGACGAATCACAATTACAGAAAAACCTCTTTACAGAGGTTTAGGCCAGGCTGTGATGCCGGGACTGTGTTGTTGTTGTTGCTGGTAACCACTCCTGCTATTGCCTAGTTCTATCTGCAGCCTGCCTACAGATGGCTCCATGTCTATTCATAACATGTAAGACTTCCTGTCAATCTTGTTGAAGAAAATGAATATAGAAGTGGCCATGCGGCTCAGAGATTAGAATGCTGAGATTATCATCGGTTTTAATCCAAATTGGGGTCTCAAGAGTAGAGAGATGGTGGTCTCAGTTTGGTCACTTCGATGCATTCGCAAAAACACCCACCACAGAAAATATGGCACTGCGCTTAATTTGGCTAAATTCAAGCTCGGAGAATTAAACGCATCATCGTGCTCGTAAAGTGACGACCGTTGTCGCTCTTAGGCAGAGCAGGTGGGACAATTCTGCACCCTACTCCGTGCACCAGATGTCACCTGAAGGGATTTCAGAGGTAGCTCTGTGATATCCACTTCCGTGGACCAGTCTCGAACGAAGCGGGTCGCACTGCTGGGGTGTTGTCTGTCTCAGGACGTGACGCTGATGGCACATTCAGAATACAAAATGGGGCGAAAAAGACAATAAACGGAGATTGAGTATCCTATAGTTTCATCGTGTCGTGCGTTGGCGTGGCTTTCTGTATGTTGCCTAGACAATTACATCATTGCAAATCACTGGAACTGCTCAGCAAAATATAAATAAAGAATTTACCCCCCCAAAAAACGCAACCGTGATTCCTAGCGAGAGAATACAGTGTTGGATGCGCGCTGAAAAACATTGTACTCGTTACAGAGCGGAATGGCGAACTTCACACTAACGTGGCCCAGCACAGCCCTCGTGATGCAGACGCCTTCTTCCTATTGCAAAGCTAAAGGACGCATTCAGAGCGAATTTTACGGTAGACAAACAGCGCCGCGGGGACAAAGGGAACGCAGTAATGAAGCCAATTTCCACTGCTTCCCCATTGATTAATCATGTTTCTCATTTAGTACAGCAGCCATTCCCGTCTTGTTTGCCAAACGTGTGGGTTGACATTAGCTCAGGAGTCTCGCTAGCATTTGCTTTGTGAAATTGTGCCTCATGAAATATGTGTGTGCGGGCTTCTTTTTCTTCCAGTAGGATAGTCATACTGAGCTTCACGTCTCAAAGTTAGCAATAGCCGCATGCATGAGGTTTCTAGCCAGTATAGAAGAGAAGGCCACAACACCAATATTGTAGGCCCTTCCACCAACGGGCGCTGCTATCAAGCAATTGCAGGGCTGCACCTTTCGCTGATATGCATGAATGTGGTAAAATAATACAATTTGAAATCAATTTTCAGACTATCCAAAGATTTAACAATTCCTGCTTCCTAATATATATACAATTATCAGTGCATATAATTAATTAACCAAACATAGGACTGCACAATAACCTTAAACATTTGTTTAACCCTCAATCATTGTGAGGGAGGGATCAATGCGTTATGAAGCCGGTGAGCTGAGTGAAATTCCCGGCGACGGCTAACATCAGTGGTGAGTGATATCCGAAGCACCCTCCCCTCCAATTTGCAGCATCCAGCGTGGTTAAGTATGATCAAAGAGTCCTTGGGGGGGGGGGGGTGGGGGGGGGGGGCTTCATTCAGAAGTGGACTGACAAAGGGTTGTACGAATCATTGAGTAATTATTTTTGTTATTGCAACATAACAATTCGTGCTCCGTTGTGAAGGGGTTAGAGAAGAATGATTGATCGCACGTAACTCACACACTAAGACTTTCCTTCATACCCTACGCCACAAACAATTTGAGCTCGGCATTCCATGTTCTTAAGACTGCGCATTTGTTCAGCTTCTGCATTCATCAATCGGCACATGCACCCACATAATGAACGCGTGTGGAATTGCCATGTCTCTGGGGAAGTGCTGCGTTGGAAGGAAAGAAAAGCTGGGCTAAACTCCCACAAAGTACCTGAATCTGTGACCAAAGATTCCATTTTGAGGAAGGTGTGAATGGCAGCCAGAAGTTTGCCTGCACAAAACCCCAATTCAATCTTCGCTCTCCCTCCGTAAAAGACAGCAGCGGCATGATATCCACATTCATCAAAGCTAACCTTGACTTCTGCTTTTTGTAATACTGTAATGTAAAGAGAGATTTCATCATTTATTTATTTAATTGAAATGAAATTCTGAATGCTTTGTCAAAATAAATATCAAAGACAGATTCTTATTCTTGTGGCTTGTGTCTTCTGAGCGTACAGGAAGAATAAAGACTTGCAGTTTGTGGGGCTTAGGGATTAACAAAACTAAATGTCTCAGCAGGTGGGCACGCTGTGGGTCTAACTCACCCCAACATCAATCTGCTCTTACACTTGTTAGCGTGCAATCTCTTGGGTGTGTTTTCTGGTTGTGCCGGGTGCTGTTGGGCGTGATGTCCGACGTTTCACTCCACAAGCTTCATCATTAATTTAGTCAATGGCTAATGTGGGACCAAAGATAATTTTCTCCCATTTCTTCATTTGTACAAAAATTCAGTTCGTGAAGAAGCTGCCGGCACCTGGAGCAAAACGTGAGGCATAATGAGTGGCCGAAGTGAGTCATTTATTATTATTATACAGCATCGTGATATATTATTTCATATAGAGAAGTAAGCTACCATTGCTGATCCAAAAGCTCACACCACCAGCAGAGCGATACCTGAGAAAGAAACTACATCACTGGGCATCTGGCTCGTTCTTCCCAAAGTCTCCGACCAATCAGCTCATGATCGGTGATCTCTCATTGCGTGGCGAGCTTTACGTTTTGCTCCACTCGTTTCTTTCCCCTTCTGATGGTGGTGTTTGCTGTGCTTGCCACTCTCCTATCAGAATTTGACTTATGTAAATGCACTGGGACAATCTGACGCGGTTTTTTTGCATCCGACGCATCGAAG